AAAGTAACGTTCTAGAGAGCCTATAGGTCCTAGAGGCTCCCTTCGACTATAAGGGTGGAGGGTAGGCCACTGTTGCCTCCTCACTAGTGTCTTGCGGCAGTAGACCAGGTGGTCTACCTCTTTAGCCTCCCCGCAGGAGCTACAGACTCAATGGGGAAATACACGAAGTAGACAGATTGAAGGCCGGAATAGAAGAAACACGCAGTCTGTGCCATAATCAAGATCAGGCCAAGGCAGATCCGGGCTTGGCAGATGCCAAGCTATATGTTGACAAAGCGTGTGATGCGTCTTCGAGGCGCCCGCAGATCCAAAACACGTAGCCACAATTTTTCAGCCTGGTGATCTTGAGAGCGTATATCGGAGAATGTAGAAAGAACCTTAAATCGCAGTTATATCCTGGATCCGGCTCGGAAATGCCATCCGACTTCACGCGGTAAGTCGCGACTGCCCGATAACCCGCGTCAGATTGAGGGACGGTGTAGACAACTCGCGGTGATATAAAACTTGAAGACAGACGAGCGAGGATAGCTCTGATCAAGGCGTCCCTGTCGGCGGCTCAATAATGTTTAAAGACTGGATGTCAGGTGCTCGGTAGATCCTTCGTAACGCCGCAGTTCCCTATGTCTTTGACGGATTTAGCCGGGCCAACAAACGCACGATGCATGCATGCATCTCAAGGATACCATGCAGTGGCTTGGTTGCCACAGATAGACGGGCGCTAAGCATTACGCGTAAAGAAGCTTTCATCTCTGCTTGACAGCCGTTCCTTGTTGTCTTGGCGGAGGATGGCGGACGATGCATGTGTGGGTTGCCGAGCCAGAGTTGGGATAACCTCTTATCATGCCGATCTATGATGGCCTCTGCTTTTGAGGTTGTTATCATGGCCTCTGGTTAACCTGTTCGGGACCTGTCGATCAGGGTGTTTCAAGAGGCCCGGCCCGTAGCATCAACGTGCTTGATCTTTCTCCTATCGTCCGACTGGTTAACGAAAACGAGAATAGCATCTTGAACATTCAAGGAGAAGGAGATAGAGTGTCTGTCGAGATACAAGACCGCGTCTGTATTAGACGCGACACCACGCGCATGTTGACATCATTAGTAGACGTGCGCCCGGGCAAATACGCGGAGAAGAACATGCGATGAGTTGCAAATTGAGCGACTCAGCCACGCTGCTGTGCTGTTGTAGTTGAGATGCCGTCAAAGTATGTCGGGGAAAGGGAATACGACGAACCCATCATCCAATGATTCTGACTTTGTTGTCATCTCTGTATGTTGGCTGTGATCCTTTCGGCTCCGCAGGGCTGTGATGTTCGGGGCGGACGAGATGTCCGGCAGAGCTTCTAGAACATCTCTCAGGGTCCTTCGGTCTCGGTTTCTTCACAGCTCTCCGACAATGTGGCTGGTGGTATGGCGCCGTTGACGAATTAGCGCGGTGGTGATTTCCTCTGACATGATTTCTTCGGGCCGGCAGTAAGCACGGGGGAAATTAGCGCATGAAGCCATCGATTGAACATGGTCTTGGCTACGGCCCGGATGGATACTCTTTAAACTTACGTTGTAAACAGGAAATCACTCGGCGGCACTAACCAGCCTTACAGATAGTATAATCGGCCCCCTAAAGGTCAGAGAGTTACAGGGCAGAAAGTGTGCCTTGCTGCCGGGCTGACAGGCGTCAAGATGGATTTGAATTGATGGGCACAGGGGGGAGCCAGGAACAGGTTGGGGGATGCTGGAGTCAAGCTCACACCCACACCCCGTTAACCCCGAAAGCCAAAGGGCGATTTGAATAATTCATTAAAGGTCACCCCTGGGAATACGACGTATGCACAGACCAGGCGGGAGCTCTGGCAGGAACCTTCATGACAGATGCCATCACACACACCTCCGGGATTGGGCCGGGGATGTTCATCATCTTGCATTGTAGAGCATCAGAACCCACGCAATCCATGCCGTGTTGATGGAGGCTTTGTGGACAGCCTGACCCCTCTACGCAGTAGACTCCCGTGGCTGGGCATGTTTGCAATTCCCGAGCCACAGAGACGTGCCATGCGATATGACGGGACGGATGGATCAGCATGGACATAGAGATGAGCTCAACGTTGAGTCTTTAGCGGATGTACCTATAGCTCCTCGTGGCACCCTGGAAGCTCAAGCCATCGAGAAGCGGTGCTGCGGCCCTCGAATGCTTAGACGAAACGAAGCCGTACGACACGCACATACACTTTTGCCGCTCTATTTCACCCACTTCTCCTGCCCATCCGTACCCCTATTCCTTGTCTCCCCTTCCCCTAGCCTCCAATAGGAACAGCCCAGATACTCTCTGTACCCGTTTCACTTTCTCCACGCCCACACCATTCCTTATCCGTACCGGCTGGCTCTTCAGTAGGTGTTTCTGACGCACGCGCCCGTGCTTCGTGTTGACTCGTCAGCAAGGCGCAGTTTAAACTGGTCGAGTTTTTCCTCAATACCCGCCCCGGCCAGCCCAGCCCAACGGGGCGTACTCGCTCAGTCTCCCCGAGAATCCCAATACCCAGCTTCCCCGTTCTACCTGTTTCCATTCTCATGATATAACCAAGTGGCCTTACTCTGCATGTTGAGGTGTCAACCGGACCGTCCAGACTTCAGCAATCCTCTACGAAAGCTACCGAGTCGTTTACTTCAACTACCGAAGCCAGAAAGGAGCACCCGACCGTAACCGGCCCCGGCGCCCAACTCCCGATCAAATCGCCATCCATTACCTTCACCTCACATCCCCACAAATTCGCTTTCGGTCTTCTCAACTCATCGAGCTTCCAACCACACACGACGCTCGCCGCGCACCTGGTGCCTACCTTCTAACGGACCGCGCCGCTGGAGAAATCCATAAGCAGCTGCATCCTGCTGACATCTCTTGTGTTTCTGGACGCCAACCGATTCGTCGGCTTACCATCCCCTGCTACGGGTTCGTTTTCTTTCCCCAAGCAGGGGGCCGAAGTGCCACGAAAGGGGGAAGCGGCCTTCTGGCTCTCATTCGGACTCCCGGGCGTTCCAGCCAGTAACGGACTGCCCACTCAACTACGTACGACGTGTGTAGAATTCCACGCTTCGCCCGTCTAGGAAGAGAGAGAGCGAGAGTCGGGGTCAGGGTGACAAAAGGCTGTTTAGACCGCCACTTGAAAGTCCTGTGTCGCTGGAGAAGATGCCGCGTCTTGGTTACAAGAAGTCTCGCGGTGGCTGTGCCAGATGTAAACAGCGGCGTGTCAAAGTACATACCACCTCCCTCACCAACCAAACCTGCATACTCGTATTACCACACTCATATGTCATCGCGGTTGGCTGACGTCTTTTCACTCAGTGCGACGAGAACAAGCCATGTGGCGCCTGCATCAGACACAACACCCAATGCAGTCTTGTCGAGGGTGCGACATCAGGCCAGCCGGCCTCAAGTGACTCCAACAGTATGAGTTGGGAGCCATCAGGGCTGCAGGCTGGGCCAGTGACTAGAGCTTCAAGTCTGCAGCGAAAGACGTCAACGCGCAAAGGATCCAGTGGCAGCCGCAAGACGACCGCCTCATCGATCAGTCCAACGGCTCACTCACTCACACCACCGAGCCTGCTGGACTCCACGCTGAACTTACCCATCGACTTCATCAGTGACCAGGCCTCTTCATCAGGAGGGGGCAGGAGACAATCGTCAATAGCGGCTTCAAGCCCCGACCCGTTCCCGTACTTTGTCAAGTTCTCGACTGGCCCGGTGGAATCGGTTCATCTGAGCAAGTGGATCACAGATCTGGAGCTCATGCACCACTACTCGACGACAACGTCCCTCACGATGCCGAGGTCATCGGATGCGAGCAACATCTGGCAGTTTGAGGTCCCGAAGCTGGGTCTCACCTACATGTTCCTGATGCACCAAGTGCTGGCCATCAGCGCCCTACACCTCGGCCACTTACATCCAGAGCAACGCGAATCTTACGCACTTCACGCCTCACAACATCAGAATGATGCAATTGCTGGCATGCGTGAGACCCTCACCCAAATCACGCCCGATAATTCCCACCCTCTCTTCGCAGGCTCTTCATTGCTGCTCATCAGCGCATTTTCTACGTTCCCTTACCAGAGAAGCGGACCCCAAGGACACCAGGCGCCAACAGTCGACGACGTTATCGACGTCTTCTTACTCGTTAGAGGCATGAGTAACATTCTGTCCTCATCACAACCCATCATTCAAGCCGGGCCTTTCAAAAACTTCTTCCACGAGGTAGTCACGCCGGCATCTACTCCACTCCTGGACGCCGTCAAGCAACACCTAAATACCTTCTCAGCCAAATTACCGACCACCGATGCCGATGAGTACAGTAAAGACATCGTCGCTCGGGAAACATCAAATTTGCGGGAATGGATCGACCATGCCACCAACACGACAGCGTTCCCCGAGTTGCGGGTTGGTCTGACATGGCCCACCAGTCTATCGGAGGAGTACATGCAGCTCATGCGAAATCGAGACCCAGCCGCCTTGACGTTGCTAGCCTACTACTCCGTCGCTGTCCACTCAACGGAGAATAGCACGTGGTTTATGCAGGGATGGGGCGTTAACGCGGCTCGGGCAATAGTGTGCGACTTAGATGCGAGCTGGAAAGAGTTGATACAGTGGCCACTGGCCTTCATCAGTGACCGGACGATACAACTTTAGTTATGACATCAAAATCTCATGAATACAATTCCCAAATTCAACTTCACACTCCACGGTAGACTATTCATCGCACGCGCCATTGAATTGGAATACTATGCTTTAGTCTTTACGAGTACGACAAGTAACCGTAGGACAGAGTTTGCACCACGTTTTGCTAGCAAATGAGCACCTCAATCATTACACTCTAGCTTCTGTAAATAACACCAAACTCGGCTGTCTTTGAGTTGCCTCGACTCGAGCGATGCCCAATTTCTGCCTGTACGGCCCGTCCGTCGTCGGCCGAAACCAACATCCCCGCGTCAATCTGGCGGCTAGTTGGCACATATTCCAGATCCGGTAGCATGTATAGAATTCAACGTTAGATAGGCAAGGCACACTCGTCTGGCCTTAAAGATCCAAGCAGGGCCATGTCTTCTTCATCCGGTGGTTCTGAAACGGCCGGGTCTAACTCTGAACGCCCCCGAAAGCGAAACCGAGCAAGTGGGGCGGAAGCTTAAGTGACCTGAGCTCCGACCATTGCTTGACTGGTAAGGCTGATTTGACACTGGATATGTCACCATCCCTTCGTCGCGGGCCACGGAATCTAAAACCTGCTGGCCTACCCCTGCGGAAAACGGCATGCAATCATGAAGTGATCCGCGCTAGGGGGGGAAATATGCCCCTACTTGTGTCCGGAGTTGCAAGATCGGACGAAGGGTTCGAGGCGGGCTTAGAGCCTGCAGTGGAACCTTTCGCATCAACGCCGCCGACTCTTGCCGCCACTAACTCCATCTTTCTTTCCACGTCAACATATTCAGCAGTGTGATCTCCATGTCACTCAGTGTATCCAGCCGAAAAGGGCTTTCCTCTGCATCAAAGATCGATCCTCCTCGGCCTCACGATTCATCGATAAGATCATCAACAACAAAAATACAATGAATACATCTCATCATCATGAGTTGTCTGCTGTCTGTTTCAGGTGTGCAGCCGCCGATGGAATACTGGACGAAGATAAGGCTCCAAACACAATTCAAAAGCTCAACACTATCTCAACGGTTGCGTACGTGCATTACTTTTCTCAGAACACCCTACCCTCATGGCTTGAAAATCATGTCATCGGCTGATTTGGACAACCACAGTCGCCGTAGTATACCAAACAGGAATCCAGCACGCCATAATACACGCATCGGGAACCGTACCAGCCGACGTACAGACGAGTTGATACACGAATTTGTATTCTGGACAAATACTTCAAGCTATTTACAGAATCGGATTTAAGCCCAAGTATCAAAGAAGCGAACTGCCTGGAAGAAAGCCTCCTCCTTGCCGTACTTCTGCTGGGGGTCCGAGATGTTGGCCCGAACACCGAAGCCATGCGAGGTGCCGCCGTACAGCGCAAGGGAGAAGGGCTGGCCGGTCGCACCGAGGAGGGCCTCGATCTCGGCACGGCGCGCGGCAGGCATGAGGTTGTCGTTCTCTGAACACAAATCAAGGTCAGTGATGTCTTCTTCATACCAAACGTTGACGCGTTCAGTAAACACAATGACGTACGGGCAGCAGCGACACTGGCGGGGCCAGTGATGGCCTTGATCTCATCGTCAGTCAACAAGCTGGGGTGCGCAGCGAAAGCGACATTGGCGCCCTTGCCCGCCGCAAGCTCGCGGAAAGCATAGCGGCCACCGAAGCAGTATCCCGTCACGGCGACCTTGCTGACACCGAGCTCCTCCTTGAGGTACTTAACGGCGTTGGCGATGATGGGGTCCGTCACGTTGGGGCCGTGGGCGGCGAGGAACTGGGTGGTGTTGAAGCCCGGGACGTTGATATCGTTGGGCGCGGGCTTGCCGTCGAACAGATCGGGGGCGATGGAGATGTATCCGGCGCGGGCGAAGCTATCAGTCAACCTATGTGTTGCGTCAGCTTCATGGATTCACGACGCGGACCGAACGCCGCGCAAGGTACCGCGGACGAGACAGCGATTGAATGCTTACAGTGTGTTCTGCGCCAACTGGACGCCGTAGACGTCGGTGAGGTAAAGAACGCCGACAGAAGTCTTGTTCCCACGGGCGCTGTGTCCCTTAGGCTTGGAGACGTAGATGTTGACTGCGATGAAGTGAGCCCGGTGCACCGTTGTCGGGCGTGTCGCGGAGAGAGAAACACTTACGTCCGTTGTAGGGCACCGTCTCGCCGACCGGGGTGCCGGTGTGAGCAATCGCGGAAACGTCGGCAACGGGGCAGTTCTTTGCGGCGGAGGCCAGGGAGGCGAGGCCGAGGACGGCCGTGGCAATCGTCTTGCTGAGCATCTTTAGTTGTGTTTTGCTTGAAGATCCGGAGCTTGGTCGATTGAGAGCTGCACAAACGGGGATGAGACCGGACGGACGATTCCAGGCCAGGCACGGGAGGGGGAACGGACAACCCTTAGATCTTTTTAAGATTTAAGCTTCCTCCGGGGTCAACGTCTTTTGCCTGATTACAAATGTCCACAGTTCGGAATCATAATTGATGACCAGCCCGGCGTTTAGCGGAGGTTGGGAGGATCGGAGAATGGCAGGGGAGCAACGGTTGCGCCGTTATTCATCGCCAAGCGTGAATTCTGCACTGAGTGACTGAGCACCACCCTGGCCAAGAACCCTTGGAGGACGTCATTCAATTCAATCGCTCGTCTCTGAAAACAGCTGTGATCGGTGAGATGTCCGGCGGGGATAAGGTTCCAGTCTGGGCCTAAGAGGGAAGCCAAGGCTTGCTCCGCCAGAAATCGCACCAATTGGTGCCACCGGTGCCCTGGTTTGATGTTGCTTTGTTTACTGGTTTAAATGCTACGCCGATAGAGTGTAGTCGAGGTGATCCCTGAATTTTCCAGGGCAGCTTTGCAGCACGGGAAATGAGGATCGTTTGGGACGAATTGCCGTGCGCGGTGAGGGGACAACGTGGGGCAATTGCGAATCATGGATGGCACTCTCGCTGCCGATTCGGCGATTCTGTCCGACCTTTGAGCTTCCTTATTCATGTTTTCGGTGAAGATGTCTCACCGAAGTTGATTGCGCTGTGTCCCATCTGAATTGTCACAACGCTCACCAACACATAAGGCGAGTTCTGCTTGTGTCAATTGGATGAAAGAATTTAGTCGAAGTATACAAGGTGGCAAATCGTTTGTTTATTTTGGGCGATACTGTTCTGCATTTCACATGGCTGACCAAGAGTGCGGCGTTGCAATAGTCCTCGGACCTCACGGGGCCAGGCTTGGTGACATGCTCACTACTTGCACGCTCTGAACACAAATATTTGTCGCCGAATCTCTCATTTTACAGGTGTATGTAAGATTATTCATCACCGACTGACGTAGCTGAGGGCGTCGATGGTAGATACCGGCTAGTGACGTGCGCGCCGGTTACGCTCCTTGTTTATGATTGAAATCCAGCTCAAATAAGTATATCCCAGCGAGTGCTGCACGACAACTGTGTACCCTATGACAAGAATTGCTTTTGAGTTGGAAGTAAGAAGAACAAGGTTGTCGCAACTCGAAGAAAGTTCAGAGCAAAGAAAAAGACCCAAGAAGAAATAGACTTCGTCGTCGCAACGGAGTGCAATACTCAATAGACCCTTGGGTATCAAATTTCTGAAGCTATCAGACGACTCGTTTATTTCATGTCATCAGTCTAACTACCGTTTCCCTCTCAACCGAGAAAGCCGCGATGAACTCTTCGTTCCGTCACAAGGTTTCCGGAAAGTCACATGGAAGGTCCGTACTGTTTGTTAGTCAAGTGTGCGGCATTGCTCTACCTGACTGTAGTTTTCTCGTGATGTTGAATCTTTGCTAAATCTGGGCCCAACAATTCGTCCATCTCTTCCGTTCCGCCTACGTCTTTCCTAGTGCAGGACCATCTAGCACCACTCTACGCAGTTGGCGTGAGTCTCTGCAGGGCATCCGACGAGGCACTGGAAGTTGTTGCGAAAGCCGCAACCCCAGATGCAGACTTGTCCTTGTATCTGGATGCAATTCGGGAAGGTTTCACCCGGGCACCAACGCTTCTGGAGAGAGTTGTCTCGAGCCTCAACGGCGGTGCTGAAATCGAGAGGCAAGATGCCTTCGGGGAATTCGGTGTAAGAGGGTGAGGCAGGCTGAGTGTTCTCTGGAGTAGGCGCTGCAGCAACGGAGCCGGCAATGGCGGCGAAGATGGCCTTGACTTCTACTTAGTCAAGAGTCAGAACTTGAGTTACGGGGATCTTACAAGAGATTGGATCTGCATTTTGACTATGGAGTTGTATGGGATAGGATTGGCTTCGATGAGGTTAGACTCGCTGAGGCTTGAAGATTGTTGTGATTTCGTGTGGGCAGTGGTAGTATTTAGTTGAGGTTGATGATGCTTCCAAACTCAACAAGATGGGCCACCTCGTCACCTTTTATACTTTGAAGATTATACCTACCAATTTAAGTCTCTCCAGAATCAATTGGATGCTTACAGCCATGACGTGAATGATCACTGCCTTGTCTGCCTAAGTTGCCCAGATTTCCTAATCATGTCCATGCAGTCCTTCGCTTGGCAACGTTGGCGTCAAGGTGCCCAACGCCAATACAATCTCATAAATCCTTTATACACGAAGTTACAATTGCGTAAAGGTTTCTTGCGAAGTCAAGTGTCATCGTGCCGAGACATGGGAGGTCCAATCGCTGCGTACTTAGATCCTGCTCCCTCGAAGAAGGAGCTGGACGATCGTTCAACTAGACAATTCGCTAATAGAGGAGGATTCAACGTCAACTGGTTTTGATCCATACGAGAGGCACAGCAGTAAGATTGTTGCCTGTTTCACGAGGAAAGAACGCTGACTGATGCAAGTGTCTTTGGTGTCTTATCCCATGGCGTGATTCCCACCTTGGCTCAAGTGGGCGTATTGGGGGCTGACGCGCAGACAATAGACCACCGACCCTTAGACCTCAATTCTTGAATGAGAAGTGGCACAAAATCTAGACTTCTGTGGGCTCATTTAAAAGCAGACTGCACTGTTTACGCGATTCGCCTTGTTTCGTGGGCTCTTCAAATGCACAGGAAGAGCTGTACCGCCTTTACACTCCAGACTTACACTCAAGAGAGATGCATGAAAGAAACAACCCGCCGCTAATTCTGTGAGGCTGAAATTATCTATTTCCGCCTGCATTTGTGGATTTTGGGGCTGTGGCTACCAATCCTATGATCTTACCAGATCCAACACCCTGCAGCACTAGATCCTCAGCTAGTTCATGGAAGGACCTCATATGCCTACATTGGGCATCCTGTGCTGACGGGTATCCACCAAATGAGCGCCCGGGGAAGCGGAAGGGTTCCATCCTTTGGACCCCATTGGCTGCCTGGGGCTGGGGAGTTTAAAGCGGGAGCGGACCGCTCCCTCGTTCACCTAATGAAGAGGCGCGGACGTCAGGTGGCCAGACTGAATAGCCTAAGTAACATCTCAGGCATTCTCTTTCGTGCCAGGTATTAGACTTCGTAAATCTGCATCCGTGACTGAGAGCTTACAGGAGGGTGATACGAATGCTCCACATGCAGGTAGCACTGAGCAAAACATGAAGCACTGCATCCTGCAGCGGTCAAATCTGCACCCTAAACAGGAAGGCGACTGGCTAAGAAAATACGCACTGAATGCTATGTGTGCTGCGCTTTAGCCACCAAGAGCGTTTTTGTCATTTCAATGTCAGTCAATAAATCCTGACTTGACAGTCGTCTTCCTTCTGAAGTCCTGCTGACGTTTATCCCACTCATTCAATCGTAGGCTTGGAATTTTCAAACAAATGGGTTCAAGAAGTCGATGTGACTCGCGATAGTGGGGTGGACTTCAGAATTGCCAAGAGCCAAGATAAGAGCTGTCTTCAGGGCCATTTTCATATCAGAAGTCCGCACAACCTCGGCAACATTTATCATTGCTTCTCCATTCATGAACGTTTTGTATCTAGCGTGACAAGGTTGATATCAGAATGGCCAATAATGTGATGCTGTTGGAACTGTTGTTGGAACGGAGTATGCACAGTCGGCAGGGGGGAGGAGTGGTAGCGAATGCCCCAGCAAAGAGGGGTAAAGCAACTTCTCAGCCCACTCGGATTTCCTCTTTTCTCATCTCTCAGTTTTCCTCTCTTCTTTCTCGAGTCATTGAAGATTTTGCTCTTACTCATATCGTATGCTATCAGGCGTGACACCTGGAGCCCAAAACCGAACAGCCACCAACAACACTGCCTAACTACAGCAGCGATGGCGAACAAGGCGGAGTCAGCTTCTCCTCCGGTCGGTTCCCCCGTGGCCACACATTCTGGTGGCCAGTCTGAACCCCAAGCTGCGCCACCCCTCGAAGCTGAAGAGCCGAGTGAACAAGGGGACAATGCCTCCGTAGGAGACGCGAGCGACACATCATTCATCGCCGGGGCTTCTACAGACAATTCGTATGCCTCTCTACGTTCTAGCATTCTCGGTTATCGTCGCGAGAATGGACGTACGTATCACAGTCTCAGCGACGGCAAATATATGGTGCCGAACGATTCCCTGGAACAAGAGCGGCTTGATATTGTCAATCACATGTGGACGCTGATATGGGATGGGAAGTTCTGTTTGTGCCCCAAAGATGAGGGTGCTAAAAGGGTCCTTGATATCGGGACTGGAACTGGTGTTTGGGCCATGGATTATGCCGACGCTCATCCCGAAGCACATGTAATCGGTGCCGATTTGAGCCCAATCCAACCTTCATTCGCCCCAGTTAACTGTATCTTTGAGGTTGATGACCTCGAGAAGGAGTGGACATGGAGTGAGCCGTTCGATTTCATCTTTGCTCGCAGTATGATGGGATCGTTCGCAGATTGGCCGGCTGTTATCGAACAGGCTTATAATAATCTCGAGCCGGGCGGTTACTTTGAGATCCACGACATTATCTACCCTCTGCTTTGCGACGATGACACTGTCAACGAGGATACACCAATCTCGCGATGGGCGCGCCTCATGCTCGAAGCCTGCGAAAAGATCGGCCGGTCCGTTACTATAGGCCGCCAGTTTCCTCAGCTCCTTAGAGAGGCAGGTTTCGAGGAGGTCACGGAGACTAAATGCAAGGCCCCGCTGTCCGACTGGCCGAAAGATCCGAAGTGGAAGGAAGTTGGCTCGATGGTCCAGGCCTCGTTGCTATCCGGCCTTGAGGGTCTTTCCCTTGCGCTGTTTACACGAGTGTTAGACTGGACCCGTGCTGAAACTTTGGTTTTCTGTGCTCAGGTCAGGAATGATGTGAAGAACACGAACCTGCACGGATACTATGATAGAATGTCTGTGTACGGTCGCAAGCCATTGCTCAAGAAAGATTAGCAAAAGCCGAAGGGCGGTTCAAATTTCAATGTTTCTAGACATTTCTTCCGAAGAAAATGTCTGATTTTGTAAATACAAAAGACTCCGCGCAAACCTACTAGTGCTGTGACTGTGATGCTAATGTAGGATCGAGATGATTAGACTTTTTAGCACGACTGTTATGTGCGAAAGCCCTCATTGCCTCATGTTGGACTTGAAGAGACACATGTTCTCAGATTTTCACTACTAAGGTAGAACGTGCTAGCAAGCGGAAGCTGGTCGAAAGTAGAATTATGAAATAATCTCAGGCCCCAATGCTAAGCTACCTTAGGCGATGCTTGTAGGATGAAAAGCAGCTTCATCTAAGAGTTCCTCCACTGTTCTGAACTTCAATCCTCTGAAATAATTCTCCCTGTGCTCAGCAATCTTCGTAGGAGAGAACGCAAGTGCTTCGCTGTGACCCATAATCTCATAGACGGCCACCGCCAAGGTTGCGTCACTTTCCTTCGCCACCAACTGCTTGATGCTCTGGGCGAGCGACTTCTTCACGACTTTGTACTCGGGAAACCTGATCTTCACCAGCTCTGAAAGCTCAAGCCAGGTCATTTGCTGACCAGAAACACACGTGAAGTTCTCCCAGGTGGACGGATCATGAGTCAGGAGAACAGCTACAGCCCGAGTTGCATCTTTAGCCGAAGTGAAATCGACCTTCTGAGATCCATTGCCATATAGGGTGAATTCCTTTTTTTCATAGTTCTGAACCCATCGATCGCCGTAATCGGCAAAGTGTCGCTGCGATGCAGGGAGGAGATAGTCAGACATCCATCCTTGGCAGAAGAATGTCCACTTGACCGCATCTTGGTCCCTGAGCTTGTCGAGAATGACGCTAAGGTCATCGCCAACATAGAGGGGCTGATCGGTAACCTCTTCGTAATTGCCAGCCCACACTGAGGGGAGGTATCTTTTGCACTGAGGAGAGGTGCGGCAAGCCTCAAGCATGTCTAGGTGGATGCGCACGAAGTCGGTGGCGTAGCCCGTGATGGACGAGATAAGAGCATCGCAATCGGCAAGATGCGGTCGAATACTCTCAAGAGAATAGTCCGTAGTGCGTTGTTCAAGCTTCTTGAAGAAGGGCTTTGGACTGCGAGTCAGGATGACTACATCGTAGTCCTGGTTGCGAAGCGCCTCAACGAGGTATTTGGCAATGTCGCCTGCGCCAGCAACAGCAACCTTCATATTCAAGGATCAGGTGCAAACGAATAGATGGAATGGATTTCTCCAAATGATACAAAGCTCGGACGGGGGTGTTGAACCAGAAGTTGGTAAGGCCTGGTGCGATGGGAAGAGCGTGTTGTTTAGGAAGATACTGGCTTTAAGTACAAGATGTCGGGCTCTTGGAGCACCCCGTCCGATGGACAAAAAGCTTTGATTTTTCAAAGCGGAGGTTGATAGTTACAATTCAATCAAGGTACCCCGCCTTGTTGTCCGTACGTCGGTGTTGCCTCGGTGTCCGGCGGTCGATGAGATCGGGGCGCCTTATTTCTCGGGCTCCCCGCCACGACGGCCCCACTCCATCATTCGGCCCTAGACTGTCGATTTCAAGCGGCCTTCACACGGTCCATTCCGGGACCATCAAAGAAGTCAAACGTTGTCGAATGCGAACTCGTAGTCCTCAAAATACTGGAAGAGGCCAGGCTACGTCGCAGAGCTCTTGTCACTTTGCTAAGCTATGTGTAGCGGCTAATTGAAGATCTTCGTAGCCCTTGAAGGCGGCTTGCATGATCAACTTCGCACGGTTGTAGATGGGTTCAGTGGGATGACAGTTATTTTGAAAAGCTGTGCTGCTGATAAAGATGGAACTGAAACGGCTCCCTGATCAGAACTGGCTGTGCTTGTCGCCGATGCTTCCGTGGTGGTAGAAGTCTTGGTTTCCAGAAGAGTCGAAAGTCCCGAGATTGACGACAATGCCATTGCCGACGATAGAATTGAAGAGAACGTTAAAGTCGAGACAATAGAAGAGGTTGCGGTAAGAGAGGAAGTGGGCGAGGAAGAAGCTGAAGCGACGGAAGCGGTAGACAGAAATGAGGTCGCCTCAAGCGTTGTGCCCAATTGCGTACTACCTGGAGTGGACCCCGAATTACTTGTTAATTCAAGTCGTTGAGTGGTTGCTAAGTCCAAGCTGTTGGTATTGGTCGACAGGCTTGTAAATGATCCGGCGGAGACAGTCGAGTTTGGAAAGGAACGCGGGGTGCTGATCGCTATTGTTGGTGAAGAATTTCCAGGTATCAGACTGGTAAGCACACCCATTGATTGACTGCCCGATGGCAAGCTGATGGTGAAAGAAGAAGAAAAGCTGGTCGCGCTACCGATCGTAACTGAAGAGCCAGAAACAGTTGGAAGAAACGACGAGGTCGCCGTGGCAGCACCACTAGTTGATACTGACGTCGAAGAGAAGGAGCTTGGAGGGAACATTTCCGAGCTAATTGTAGTTGATACAAAGGTGATTTTACCGGTAATTATTGGTGCGGCCGTGGTACTGGTATCTGACGCAGGAAGGATTGAAGCAGGCAGGCTTGATGCTGAGGTGGCACCAAGAGAAGCGGGTGTTGAGGAAGTACTGCTAGCAATTGATGGCATGGAGAATGAAGCACTCGAACTGGTTGATTCTGAGTTTGAAGTTGTCGACGATACCTCCGTACCTGAAGTGGCTGTGCTGGAAGTGGAAATACTTGTTGTGGAAGTAGTTCCTGAGGACGACGAAGACGGACTGCTCGAAGCGCTAGATGTGCTCATCGTCAAGGTAGGAGCAGTTGACGAGCTCAGAGATGCGGAGCAAAACGTCGCAGTCCGCGTAGAGGCTGCCCGGATTCCATACACAGAGTACAGGGTAGTGTACATTGCGACGGGACAACCTGCGCTTGATGAAGCCGAGGATGACGCTGTAATCACACCACCACACTTGGGATTGCCGAAGGGCGGATAGGACTCCTGGCAGGTGTATTGGTTACATTGGGTATTCTCCAAGGCCACGGATCCGTCAAAGACGATGGTTGTGCCTGGCTTGGAGCAGTAGCAGGAGGTGTCGATAATGATAGAAAAGTCTCGAGGGATTGCGTTACATCGACGTTGGCAATCGACTGGCCCTGTGCCGCTCCCTTGGTAGATGAGCTCCAGACTGGATAGGTCGGCGAGTGGTCCACAACCCTCATATGCCGAGGGAGGTGACGACCAAAATTGCCCCATTTTGAATATCAGCCAGAAAAGTGCGCATGTGAATGTTGTTAGAGGAATATTCAAGTTTAACTGTATTGCGAGATTCAAAGGGCTTTACAGTGGCACCATCAGCCTGTTTTGTTTATTCCTTGGTTGCCCTGGAGTCACAAGGAGACTTTCCCTGGCAACTATTAGCCGGTAGTGTTCCAGATTGCGTTCCTAGTGGACAGCAAGATCGAGCCAAGAGTCGTCATGTAAGACAGCCCCATTCCGCAACGGCCCAATCTCATCGAACGATGTCGCTGAGCAGATCTACTAGCGTGTTGCATGTCAGACATTGCCATTGCCGGTCTGATGAATGTACGGCTCGGATGCGACTTTGAATCTTCGGCACGTCTGTCAGCAAAGGCCGAGACAGGCCCACAGGTTGCTCACGATTTGAAGAGGTATTCAACATTGTATTTCTTTTCCCACAAGAAAGAAGCCACCATCTGGGACTCAGATTACATACTGGCTTCGCTGACACTATCATAACTTGCAATTGATAAGATTGTGTCCGGATCTGGCCATCTGTCTCATACAGCGTCGGCTGCTGCAATGTCCTCAGTGTTGAGCCTCAAGCTGTCCTCAAGCGAAGTCCATCCAGACCCTTTGAGCCTACGCAACAATTCCTCGGCACGACCAATGGGCTCGATCACAAATGGGTACTCTCCGGCAGCATAGTCCCCGTGGAACTTCCTTCCTGGATTTTGTTTCCGAAGAATGCCCAGGATTTGGTCATAATTGAACGGCTCTGCGAAACCAAAAATGCGCTCCCCCTTTACATGCGGAAAAACAGCCCCTGCGACATGTAGAAGGCCGTCGTCTTGAACATCGATAAAGTATTCTGAAGGTCAAGTCAGCCGTTGCACTACAGAAAGTCTCGGGTTTCTATGACTCACGAGGCATTGATAGAGTAGGGGGTGAACGGTTGCCGTTCATCAAAGCGGCGGCAATGCCGGACGTCGATGGATGGCCTTGGTTGACTGGGTCCAAACTCTTGCCCAAGTTCATGTTGGGAAGTACTGCCTACATCAGCAACAGCCCAAAAACAGTCTCAAATGCGCAAGCAACTTACCAGCATTGACAACGATATCAGGTCGCGTTGACTGGTTCTCCTTGTAATACTTCCATACGAAGCGTTCCTGCTCGGCCTTGCTGGCGGAGTAAACGATCGCGCCATGGTCTGGGCCCCACGGGGCAGGCTTCCAGGCCAGATCCACTGCCTCAGTGTTCCAAGACTCCTCCGTGATGATCGACCCAATCTTGTCTTCTGGCAGATTTTCCTGGAGCGACCCGCTTGGAACAGCTGCAGAGGAAGACGACGTCAACACGAACCGCTTAACACTGGGTTCTTTGTAGGCTGCTTTGATGGCGACCTCTGTGCCTTTGACAGCTAGAGGGATAACTTTGCTTGGATCAGGGTCAAATGTGACAACTGAAGCAACATGCACAAATGCCGAAACGCCTAGTTGAAGTTAGCATTGCCTCCTAAGTCTTGCCAGCATCGATCTTACCCTTTACCGCCTCATCATAGGCATTCTCGACGGACATGTCGGGAACGGATAGGAGCTCGAAATTGCCTTTGCCGTAGGTCTTGTCGAAATAGGCACTAATCCATGCGTTCTTGTCGGTGTCACGAACTGTCCCTCGGACCTTGAATCCTTGTCGAACGAATTGGTCCGCTACATGTGACCCAATGAGACCGTTGACGCCAGTGACGAGGACGGTGGAGCCCCTCGAAATTGCCGGATTGTCGATGGCTGCCATTATCAAGTACGTTGAAGTCGAAGTCAGTCGCAGCTTTTGGATGAGAATGTGCAGTTCGAGTGAGCTAAAGGAATGCTGTTGGTGGTATTTCAAGTGAACGGTAGTCGAATGAAAGTTCACTAGGAAGCCTTTTATCATTGAAACATTTGTATGACGATAGTCCGCCTGAACTCTAAGAAATTTTCAATCCAGCGGAAGTTTGAGATAGTTCGGACGCCGCTTACACATCATCATACCAAAACGGCATACAATTGAGCAGCTCGGACTTCGTAGCCCGTTCGGGTAATTAATCGCAAGATGCAGGACAGCGCCGCACGAACGCTCTTTCGCACCAGTTGACATATCGGGATCATTCCCTGCATGCCTCGGCCGAAGTTTGTCATACGGAGCCCCTTGTTCTTTCAACTGAAGGAATAACGACAGCAGTTCCACCAGGTTTGTCAAGCGTGGTTCGATAGACCATAAGATTCGGTGCGGCATCAACACCGGGGGCCGGGCTGGGCCGCCGTGATTATTCAGCTCGGCCTCCGACATGACAGAACTGTTTGCCTAACACGGGATCGGAGCGGACCTTGCCCCAGAATTTCCCGTTTCAGTGATTGTTAAGTCCGCAGACTGCAGCTCGCCGTCGAATCCTTCTAGAATCCGTACCGTAAGCAGAGAGCTAACACTGAAAGGGAAAGCAATCCCCAAGCGATCCAGGCAAAGCTGGATCCTCCCGCACATGTCCAATCAGGCGCGAGGAATAGTCAGTAATAGCATCCGTCGCATCTACGAGCACAGCAAGCGCGGATCAGGTGTCACGATTGAGACGGATAATTGGTTATGATCAAATCTTTTTAAGGATTGTATGTGAAGTATATTACTTGTCAGGTCCTCCCTCCTAGGGATCGGCCCATCCGATTAAGTACACATATCGAGTCCGACCGAAACGGCAAAACATCTCGAGGTTATCAAATCCACAGGCAGAGACGGTTTTGACACCGCGGCTCTGGCTGCCTCAGTGGCGGGTATAATAAGCGACCCGGGCAATGTCCAGACAATTCCGGGCAAGTCCGGGGGTAGTAAGTAACACGATAGAAAACATCTACCAGACGTTGCCCTTGGTCTGGGGGCCCTTCTCCTTCTCGAGCTGCTTGAGGTTGATGCGCTTCCAGATGAGGATGCTAGCAACGCAGAGGGGGACGAAGCAGGCGCCGGCGATGACCATCTTGTGCTGGATGCTGCCGTAGGCGCCGACGATGGCGTCGCGGATGGGGTCACCGTCCGCGTAGGAGAGCTGGACGGTGACGTCGCCGAAGATGGTGGCGGTCTGGTTCTTGGCGTCCTCGGGGAGTCTGTTGTAGATCTCGGTGGGCATGATGTTGTTCCACATGGCACCGGCGACGGTGAAGCCGGTGGTGGAACCGACGGAGCCGAACAGGGAGAAGATGGCCATGGCGGAGGCAATCTCCTGGTGGGTGACAGCGGACATGACGGAGATCTGGGCGCAGGCGGCGAAGATACCGGTTCCGATACCGTTGAGGAGCTGGAGAACGACGAGGGTTCCGACGCTGGTGCTGGGAGTTCGGTAGGGGATCAGGAGAGCGGTACCCAGAAGCATGAAGGGAACACCAGCGAGGGCAGTGTACTTGAAGTCTCCGGTCAGGCGAATGATGTATCCGAACAGAGGACCGAAGAAGGAGGAGGCCAGGGAGAAGCAGTTAAGGATGTAACCGGCGTTGGTGATGCTCTGTCTGTGGACAACCAGGAGGTAAGACTGGTAGTAGGTATCCCAGCAGAAGATGGAAAGGAACATGAGGCCGTAGAGAAGACCAGCGCCAATGATGTTCCTGTTCCTCAGGTACTCCCAGGCGATGAAGCTCTTGGGGGTCAAGTACTTCTCCCAGACGTAGAAGGCGGGGACGCAGAGAATTCCGAGAACCAGCATGGCAATGATGTGGGCAGACTTCCAGCCGTGGGCGGCGTACGAGACGATGTTGAAGGGCAGCATGAAGAGGGAGAAGGCAGCGGTAAGCAGAATGATACCGACAACTGCGAATGGCCTGTTAGAGATCTCTGGGGCATTCAGGGGACTTGTTGGGGATAAACTTACCATCGAACTGGACGAGGTAGTAAAGGAAGCCCTGGAGGTAGGTGCGGTCGGACTTGATCTTCTGGAGCATACCGGCCTTCTCAGCCTTGCGCTGCATAAGGAACATGACGGCGGCGGCAGGAGCGCAGACACCGAGCATGATGATGGCGAAGGCACCGAAGGCCCAGCGGAAGTTAAGGTTGGTGTAGAACAGGTCGGCGATCTTGGGACCGGCGAAGACGACGATGACGTTAGGAGTGCCGTTGATGCCGAACATGATCATACGGTTCTTGAGGGAGGTCATATCGGCGACCATGACGTCGAGGACGAACAGCATACCAAAGTGACCGACGTAGTAGATGGTGTGGGCGGCGACGTAGGTTTCCATGTTCTGGCAGACGGCCTTCATCATGACACCGATGCAAGAGCAGAGAATCATGATCAGGAAGGCCTCCGTGCGACCCCAGATGTCCATGATCTTGGCGATGGTGACCTGGCAACATCCTGACAGGATAGTAGCGAAAACACCGACGATGGAGAGGAGACCGTGCTTGTGGAACGACGAGGTGACGAAGGCGTTGAGGTTGCTCTGGATGGACTGCAGGAGCAAATCGGCGAAAGAGACGATGTAGATCCTTTGAGATAAGGTTAGTCGGCTGTCACCGTCGCCAAGTTGGCTGGGGTGGCAGGATGCGGGCGAGGACTCACAGGACAAACATGCTGATCAGGGTCTTCTTGGTCCAGACGGAGGTGATGGCACGGACGCGCTGGACACCACCCTGGAAGTTTTCGCTCTCAGCGTCGGAGTCGCCCTCCTTGTTGTTGTTGGGGTTGGCGTTGACCTCCTGGACGCCATTGTTGAAGTTGGCGGACTTCTCGATGTCGGAGCCGGTGTCCTGGCGCTGGGCGCCTGCCTCGATGGTGGTCGACATGGTTCTTGAGGGGATTGTCGGTCGCGGTGCGACTATGAACCACAGGACTCAACGGGTTGGCGTTGAGTTGGGTATTAAGGGGTTCTGGGCAAGAAGGAATGGGAAGTTGAAGGCTGAGCGTGCCTGTTGACCTTGCTTGAAGAACCAAGAAGAAGGGAGGGAAAATCCAGATCTCGAAAAGCGAGGGTTCTATCCGCTCTTCTATATTAGAAATGGGCCCTGCCAAGAGCCAGGTGAAAATCCAACCCAAGCCGATGTCGCCCAATCTTTACTTTATCAGATGATCAGATTAGATGCCAAGAGACGAATCAAAGTTCGAAGAACATCGGAGGTATGTTTGGGTTCGTGCTAGCGTAGTGGGATCTTCCAGGCCGGCGACAGCTCAGGTCGGAGGGCCGCGTACTTGGCTGGACCCTCCTCGCGCATGGAATGCCTAGCTAATAAACCAACCGTTCATACCCGAAATGTGAAAAGATCAGCCAATGCATCGGCTTATCCCTGGACAAAAAACTTCAGAAGAAAGTGGCGTGAAGGGATGAAGGAGCTCTGAGGGGGCACCAGGTCTCCATGTTGCCCTCTGGTCGGGCCGTCGACAGGTCGACGCGGTGGGGTTGGAGCGAGGATGGTGTCTGCCGGCCCCTGGTCACATCTCATCAAAGTCTGTTCATTGCTGGGTTTGACTTCTGCAGGTCGCTGTATTGCAACCCCCGAGACGCAGCTAGAGAGACACGGCTGAAGCTGGTCGACAGATACCCAGGTGAGGTTCACGTGTTTGTGAGCCAAGACTGCCAACGAGAACATCATCAGCATCAGTCCAGTCCTGTCGTGTCTGTCCGTCGATGAACCCCAGAGAAGCTAGCGGGCAGAAGGGTTTTTTTTTCCCCTCAACACTTGGCTGCAGGGAGTATCGCCGGTGCCATGGGTAACTGGCAGGGAAATGTCTCCCACATACCCGTAAGCTAAGCAAAAACCCCCCACTCGAGCGGGTTTATTATCCATGAACAATCGTGTTCTGCAAGCCCACCGGCCAGTGCTGGTGACACCGACCAGGATCCTTGCAGAAATTAGCCTGTCACCTCTCTGGCAACCAATCATGGCCGATACCCGCAAGCAGAAGTCAACGTTACCCATGCAGACCGGGACGCACATGGCGGCAAGTGGGAACGCAAAGAAGCTAAGAAGTGGTGGAAGGTCTCGCATTTTTGCCTTCCGGCCTGCCTCTGGTCTGGGTAAAGGATTGGCATCTGGACTGAGCTAGAGGCGAAACCAGCCCATGATGGACCATGCGCTGATCTGCTGGTGTCTTGATCCGGGTGCTTGGCTACCATTTGGATCGAGACGAACATTGGGGTTCCCGAGGCTTTATCAGGCCGCTTGAGCCATCCGATGGCCGTTGCTGGCGAGCTCGAAAGCCCGCGCTGGGGTGCTGGTGCTGGTCCAGAGGCACCCTCCGATCGAGGTTACCTTCTCCAACAAGCTGCTGTGCCACCCGCTTCCCGAGTCATAGAAGGCTGATGGTGGGCAGAGACGACGGCTGACGTGGCTCGTTGGTTGTGCTCTGGTGTGGCTACCTACGCGTGAGTTATTTTGAAGCCTTCCTTCAATCTAACGATGCTTTTTTTATGTGTCAACGTCGTGGTTGACGAAGTCCAAGTCGGAGGCCCCCACGATGGACTCCTACTATTTCACGGACGACGGACAACAAGCGACATTGAGTCCGTCGGCCGTCAATGCAAACACATAAAGCAGGGGGGGACGACACCAACCAAGAGAAATATCAAGACGCTCACTGGCCGACGACAGGTCTGTCAGCTCAGGCTGTGCCTTCTAGGTGAGCGAGGTGGGTTCTGGACCAACTCTGCCCTGGTCAGCGAAACCAACCAACTCGTTGGTTACTTGAAGTGGAAAACAGCCCCGACGGGGACAGTCTCCGTAAATCAATAGGCCGGACGAAAAGAGCTGCGCGTCGAGACACTTTCGACACCCTTGGAGAGAAAATCTCTTCGCCACAACCACTCAACGCGACGGTCATCTCGAGCTTCACTGTGACTGGATCGGAGGTAACGAGAAGGGCCGTCGAAATATCGGTTTTACTGAGACATATTCCGAGGGCAAGTCCTCACGAGACCACTGAGTCAAGACCAACAAAGACCGCCAAAAGCCCACGAATTCCCACTCCGCGAGCTAGACTAAACAGCTGAAGGATTTCTTACGCACGAAAGCGCATGTTCGTCGACAACACCAAGATATCCAATGCCATACTGACCCTGTTCAACTTTGAACTCGCGACAGACCACAAAATTTTGCCCTCTTCGCAAAGCCTTTGCTGACCTGCCTCCAGGTAGCCAGACTGAGACCAACGGAAAACTCCGGCCATTGCTCCGGCTAAAGCTCCCCTCTACGAACGCGCGATTTTACCAACGGCACGCCGATCGGTTTCGGCGCTCAACAGACGGGTACTCGGCAACGGCGCTTTTGACGCAGGAAAATCGCGGCATCTCGATTGGCAACGGAGCACAGTCGCCCCTACAGCAGCAACGACTGAGTTGTGCGTCGCGATATTGACACTTGCAGCGAATTTCCGCTCTTCTTGGAAAGAGGCGAAATTTGCGGCGCGATGTAGTGTCTTGCTTTTGGGGCCTACGAGAATGCGGGATTCGTACCAGCAGGCTGGCACGATATTCCTTTTCTCGTGACTTGTCTATCCGCCCGATCTAATTGCTGACACTGGGTTTTCTGCTCCTGAGACTGATTGAGGCCCAGCAACTTGGGCAGCGAGACTAACAAAGCGCTCTGATGCTCTGAGACACAAGCACTCGACTTGTCAGGCCGGACACTTCCCATGTCCGTTGCATGAAGAACCGGGCCTTGCCACAACTGAGGCAGGCATGTAGTCTTTGTCGGCATTCTCCATGTTATGTTTGCCACGATCACGCCTCAGATGTCACTTGAAGACAACTGGAGTTTTCAGCTGTCAGTCCGTAGGTGCATTTTGCATTTACGCCTCTGAAGCGCGTCTGGCGGGCAAATCGGGGACCAACTGCCTAAAGGAGAAGTTTGATGAAGCCGCATGCTCCAGTGCTGAGCGAAAACCTGCCAGTCTTGAAGTCGTAGCGATTAATTGGGCAGGACCGAGGCTCAAGCAAGTTGTTCGATGATACGGTATCATCACTTGGACCACGAAGCAAGGGCTTGCCGCTTCCGAGATGCAGTGACGCGCAAGCCCATTTAATGCTGCCATATTGCGGCATCGTGATAAATTTTCTTGGTTTCTTTTTTTGACTTCAGCACGAATTTGAGCGCCGATCGGTTTTATTTAGTTACGTCGGTCATCGAGCAGTTGACCGAGCTGAACTGTGCACTTTTGCAACCAAAATCATAAAACTATGACCAACGCCTCGTGAAGATCGACTTCAACGAAAGAATAGAAACTGAATCTCTGTAATGACGCTGATCTCAGGAGGACTTCTATGTCGTACAAGATGGTTCACATCAATCCACTTGAGACTGTACTTAGGATTGAACAGAAGTCACGATCACATTCATCCTCTGCGACCGAATCATCGAGTGCAATCCCAAGAATATGGAAACTGTCCCCTGAGAGACCCTTCGCATTGACCTCTCATCAAACTCTGCATTCATTCTGCTTCATGCAGTTGGAGCTGAACGATGTTGGAGGAAAGGGGAATCTTGGCCGTGACAGGCCACATCCGATATCGGGACCAGAGAACTCTCTGCATCCAAACGCCTTGTACTACGTGAAGAACGTTTGGCTAAGCTTCGTTCATCAGATGAGAATCTTGATGTAGATTCATCCCGCGATATGTCAATCTACAGTGCAGACTGACTGTTGGAGGACCCTTGTGGACAGGTCAATATGACACGTAAATTGCCAAGCCGCTGACACTTCCTAGAGGAGCGCAAAAACACTTGTGATTACACCTCGATGTACTTAACCAAGGCACAAGACATCCTTGGCCAAGCCACATGCGTGAGCACTTGCCCCCGAAAAAGGTAGTCCAAGACGTCTCAATTCTTTAGAGTGTGGCTAGTCAGTCACGTAGTCTTGGCAATGGAGAAAGATCTAATCACGATAATCAGTAAGAAGAGAACTGGACCTGCAGAGGGGGGGGTCCTGTAGGGCTGCACAGAAGTCCCCAAAAATAACGAAGGCCGCGAGACAAAAAAGAAAAAGATGGGATGAATGCGGCGATTGTCATACCCACGGGCATCACCCACCGAAGCACCGTCTGCAGGTCCCGTTTATTACCAGGCATGCGGAATGAGGGGACGAGGAGCGCGGCCAGAGGAGCGACCACGCGGGTGAAGCGGAGCGCGGCTGTCACTCTGCGAGGAGACTGCGTCGCAGCGGATCCGGGCATAGGCGAGGGAGGACTCAGAGGCGAGAGTCTCCCAAGATGGCCGAGAACTTGGCCCGGGTTAAACCGGATTCGCGGTGGGGTTCTTCGGGGTTCATTCGGGAAGAAGACGAGAAGGCGTTGCCGATCAGGGTAAAGCCTGCTCCCGCTCGCTCGCATCCTTCGCCCTTCTTTTCCACTCTCTTTCTCTTCTTCGTGTCTCACTCCAATGCAACCGAATTTTAGTCATCGCGTCTCTTCGCTTCGAGGTATCGGGATATCCATAAGCCGATGGTCAGCAAGTGGTCATCATTTGCTATCCCTATTTAGCAAAATTTTCAGAGGGTATTCCAGACGGTGCCGGCTTCTTGGCATGTAATTGTGGAAACTTACCCAATTAGGTCTCGCGATTTGTGCTTGCCGATGGACGAGATGCTGCAGGAATTGAGCTTCAAAAGATTCTCTAGTTCATGGAGAATCTCATTGAATTTATATCATTCCATAAACCAAGACTCTTCATGTTCGTGTTACGCAAACTATCCACAACAGTGTTTTGCTTTTTTTGTGACATCTCAGTCTTCGGGCAACTGTCGACGCCCCGGGCAAAGCCTGTGCCGCAGAAGCCTGTGGCAGTGTGAAAAACATGCAGGATATGCTCAGAACACGCAAATCAAGTCGCGTGCCACAGATCTCCGGGATGATTAAGCTCAAAGGAAATTACACGCTGAGCCTCAATCGGAAGAAATAGCCGGTATCTTGATAATCGGCAAGCCACTTCCAGGCGCGCTCGACGATGACTGGCCCAAAAGATCTTTTGGGTCTTCGGACTAGCTCCGCCGTCACATCATGAGGTTATTTCCTCCACGTCTCCTCGGCCCGGGTTGCATCAAGAATCATCCCGCGTGCCGTCTTGGCTCCCCAATTTAGCCTTACGAGGCCCTGCGTTTGTTCCGCCCGCGGGACGCGACGTTGCAGTTTTCGTGCTGTCGTGGGCGGAATTCCGGAGCACTGACTACGTTTAAGGAATGTGGTTGGCGACTCGCAGTCTTCCTCTCCTGATCGGTGTCCTTTTCCGTGTCGCCTCGACCGAAATGTCGACTCAGAACCCTCACGCTAAATACGGCCGGTCCCATAAGCTGACGCCAGTATCCGGTGCCGTGAACCCGGACGTTGTGGGTCTGATGAGGATTGGCGGCAACGCCGACTTACACGGGAGCGCGCCAGGATCATCGTGGGTTGGAGCTCAGGGTGGAATAAAAGTCTGATAATCGCCCATCTAATCTCATCTAATCTGTAGTCTGTCTCGACACCGTGCTTGGCATTCAGCATTCCCGAACCACCGACCATGGCAAGCCTCGAGGGGAACCGCAAGACGGTCAACGAGACCGTCATTGATGAGCCCGAGCCCGTGAGCCCGACGAACACCATTGAAGAGGTCAAGCGCTCTTCCGGTATGGCCCATGCTTCTCCCACATGCCAAGAATTGTTATCTAGAAGATCTTATCAGATGAATCTAGTGCCCCGAGCCAAGATGTTCTCTACGCGGCCGGCGTTGGCCTGAGACCCGACGACCCTTCCTTGCCATGCCTCACTCTCCGCATGTGGATTATCGGTATCGGCTTCTGTCTTTTGGGCAGCGGGGTCAACACTCTCTACACGTTCCGGTTTCCGTCGATTACCCTGTCACAGTCCGCAATTCAGTTCTTGGCATACCCGGTTGGAAAGGCTTGGGAGTTTGTGGTTCCGGACTGGGGTTTCAATGTCAGAGGCAACCGCTACAGTCTCAACCCGGGACCTTTCAACTACAAGGTTCGTTTACTCATCAACTGATGCTTCACATACGGCACCGATACTAACAGATACAACAGGAGAACATCCTCATCTACATTATGGCCAACCTCAGTTTCCTCACTCGACTCAGCGCGGACGTCTTGACCGAACAACGAGTTTTCTACGGTTACGAAGCAGGATGGGGTTTTGAGCTTACAGTAACTCTGGCCACGATCTTGTTTGGATTTGCTTTGGCTGGACTGTGCCGCTCCTTGGTGGTTGAGCCTGCTGGCTTGCTGTGGCCTGGTGTTCTTGGCAACACTGCCCTGAACGCTGCGCTGCACTCTAGCAGAAAGGAAGACGAGACGGAGTATGTTCTGTTTTCTACAACCTTGACACAACGTAGCTAACATTGCTTCTTCAACAGGACCAAGTGGACGGCCTCGAGATACAAGTTTTTCATGTTTGCCTTTGCCGCATCCTTTTGCTGGTACTGGTTCCCCGACTTCATCTTCCCTGCATTGGGATACTTCACCTGGGTCTGCTGGATTGCGCCCAACAACGCCGTGGTAAACCAAGTCTTCGGAATGAAGAGTGGAATCGGTCTACTGCCTTTCACGTTCGATTGTGGGTAACAAGCCATGCTAAGTAAGATCATATGTCTGACTCAACACAGGGAGTCAAATCGCCTACATCGGATCCCCACTGGTCGTGCCCACCTGGGCTATCCTGAACGTTCTTGCGTCCTTGGTCTTCTGGATCTACATCATCTCACCAGCTCTCTACTACTCAAACACTTGGGAGTCAGCTTACTACCCCATCCAGAGCAACTCAATTTACGACAAGAACGGAAAGACCTACAATGTCTCCAGAGTCATCGACAAGAAACATGGCTTCACCTTCAACGACACTAAGTACGAAGCCTACTCTGACGTAAGTACACCCTTGACAACGCTTCTTAAATTGCGCCGCTAATCATCGTAACCACTCAGATTTACCTCCCGGTCACGTATGCCCTCAACACCTTCGGTCTGTGCTTCGCCACCATCGCTTCTCTCTTTGTCTGGCTGTTCCTCGAGAAACGCAGAAGCATCGCCGCGGCTTTCAGAGCGTCTCCACTCCCCGCCCTCTTCGGTCGCAAGGTCGTGCCTCGAGACAACCCCCAGCCGTTGTATGCAGCTGTGCCAATCTTTTGGTACTGGACCGTGGCCGCTCTCGCTCTGGGCTTTGGCATTTTTGCTTGCGAGTTCTATCCCGTTCAGCTGCGATGGTACGGAGTCATTCTGTCTTTCGTCGTCTCTGCGGTCTTCTTCATCCCCGTGAGTTCCACTCTTCTTAACTGCAGCATGGTTTCAGTGTTGATAGAAGTTTGCAGCTTGCCTGGGTCTACGCCACCACCAACATGAAGATCCAAATCGACATCTTTTGCCGAATCGTCGCCGGCTACACCTGGCAGGGCAAAGTGCTCGCTAACATCTGGTTCTTTAACTTGGGATACATCTCGGGTATCAAAGGGCTTGCGTTTGCTCAAGATCTCAAGCTCGGAATATACTGCAACGTAAGACCCCGCATCTTTTCATATCTCATCTAGCCCGGCTAACGTTTGCGCAGATTCCACCGAGACAACTGTTCCTTGTTCAGGCAGTTGGCCTTGTCATCGGCAGTCTCGGTCAAGTCTCTGTCCTCAACTGGGCTCTCAACCACATCCCCGACATCTGCTCGACCACCGCACCCAACGGCTTCACCTGCCCCTTTTCTCGAACTCATTTTAACACCAGCATGGTGTGGGGCGCAGTCGGCCCTCGCCGTTTCTTCGCAGAGGGAGCCATGTACCGCAACCTCCTCTGGTTTTTCCTCGTGGGTGCGGTCTTGCCGGTGATTGTCTATGTTCTCCGGAAGAAGGTCTTCCCGAACGCCACATGGCTTAAGAAGGTTCATGTGCCCTTGTTCCTCGGCGCACTCAACTACATACCTCCGGCGTCTGGCACAAACTATGGCAGCTGGGCGATCGTGGGACTCCTGTTCGGGCTGCTCATCAAGAGAAGACAGAGAGATTGGTGGAGGCGGTACAACTTCGTGCTCAGTTCTGCACTGGACTGCTCGGTTGCCATCGCTGGTATTGTGATCTTCTTTGCGCTATTCTACACCGGTGCCTCGAAGAAGTTTAGCTGGTGGGGAACGGACGTCTACAAGGTTTGATCTCAGATCCTTTGGAAGGTTGACATGCGGTATGCTAACTATTGCAGAACACTTGCGACTGGAAAAGCTGCACCTATCTCGAGAGATCTACCACGAAATCTGCCTGAATGTGGTGAATGAAAAGAAGAGCTCTCAGCTCGGGCTTCCTCTCTGAAGCGGATGCTACCGAGTATTGTGTAAAAGGGAATGGAGAATCCTGTACCGCCATGTGTCAAGTACAGCACATCTAGCTAGTTGATACCCATGTGTTAATCTGAAGTAATCTGTCGCAATAAAATCGGGTGTAATATGCATTCTTCTGTACAGGTAAAGCGACTCGGCTCCAGGCATGCACGCACGAGAACACCGTGGGCATGCAGGCGATATTGCCGTTCTGGCCATCAGTCGTCCCTCGAGAGCAACGTGGCATTACTCAGCGGGAGTGCAGTCGGCATTCCCAGACAGGGCTCGGAGAATAAGGTCGCTTTCGGCCCTAACAAATGCGAAGCTATCCGCTTCACCAGGGGATACTACCAGGCGGCCGGGCTGCTACACGTCATGGTGGGGGCTTGGAGACTTAATGCGTTGATGGAGCTGGTATGCTAGATCAGTGTTTGGTTTGATAAGATATTTTCATTCTGGTACCACGTCAAAACTAGGAAAGCGACGGCAAACAAGGCAGCCCGACATCTTAAGCACCTGACGAACACGAAGAGGGGCTTCCTGCGGCTACTAGGGTGGTTCTTGAGGGAGGGCGTCCAACTACTTACTGCAGTCTTCCTGCAAAAGGTTGATCATCAACATCCTGTAGTCCCACAGCTCTCTCAATAGGGAATGTAGCAGACGAGACTTTAGAGAGCGGCAAAGCTTTTGCCGAGCTACACAAGGTCTCTATCTCCAACATAGCAGTATGTTACAGGATCACAGGATCACGTACCGACACAGCCAAAACAAGAAGCAGGAAAAACGGTGAAAACAGTACCACAAAGCCGTATCATTCTCTTCGTGGATAGCTCTCAAGGGCCGAATGGAGCTATGGGATATGGCTTTGTTATCTATCAAGACTCCAAACGCATAGCGCAAGTCTGTGAACGGCTCGGGTTAGGAGAGTTTGTCGACGCCGAAGTGGAGGAAGCAAGAGCAGGACTACACCAGGCTCTACGTAGTCACCAAAGCCAGCCAACTCACTTTTGCACTGACAACAGCAACGTCAACGGCATCAGCATTCACTTACGTCGCGGCGTCATAAGGTCTATGTGTTTACCATAGTCTCTATAGAATGGATACCAGCAGCGCTAAGTAAAGCCTCCAAGAACCACCAAGCTCGGCACCTAATACGCCACATGTATGGGTTCGGCATCATCATTAACCACGGCCTAGATCCTTGGACTATCCGGCGCGTCGCTATCAACATTCACTTGTTCACTCCTTAGGTCACTAGGATCAAACGTACCTCATAACCGGGAGGGCACGGCGTGATGCAGTTCCAAAAGCCGTCACCGTACCCGTGACACTCGTACTCGCCGTCGTCATTTGCAGTTGTGATGGGCTTGCTGCAGGGCGGGAGGTCCATCTTGCCTTGGGCGTTACCCTTCCACCTCGCGCAGCCCATGCAGGCGCCGTACTGCTTACCCGGGGCGGTGCACTGGCGCGCGCAGCGGCTGCTACAACCGGACACGTCGTCAACGCTGTAGTCTGCAAAGAGCCAGGCGAAGTCGCCGGGGGAGAGATTTCGGTTCGATGAGAAGCCTGGGGAGCAGGCTTGGGCGAGTGGTGCGCTTGCGCAGAGCACAGCGGCGGCGATGATTGCTGTAAGACGCATTTTTGTTGGCGCGTGTATCAGCCTGGGCCACCTATGGAGAGTCCGGGGGGTGGGGAGTGAGTTCCGAGTTTGAAAAATCACGAGATTTTGAGAGACTTTTGAATGTAGGAAGAGCAGGAATGCAAGAATATGTACACTACACCAAGTGCCAGCGGCAGTTGATACCATTGGTAGCCATTTCCACGGAGTCCCGCTCATTTGACATTTTACAACATGAGAATCTCGAGGATGGCTTGCCCTCTTAAATGGGTTTTGCGGATGCAGGCGGAGAAAGAGAAGACGTCGAGCAAAAAAGCTTTATCTCCTATCCCCACATTCTGAATTTGAGAGTCGAGGTCAATTAAATGTGATTAATCTCCCGGCCTCCTCGGCTTGGTTTTCAGAGACTAAGGTCCCAGTATCCTTGCCATGCCAGTGCCTCTTCAAGGTAATTAGCGTCCATTGACTTGCTCTGCCTGGAGGAAACCGTAGATTTCAGCATTGCTTCGGACTTGCGATGACTGTTGAGCTCCCTGTCATCGCGACAGAGACCTCATCCTTTTCCCAGTTGCCACCTGATACAGAGCTGGTAAACGCCAAAGCTATCTAGAATTTTGACAGTAATAGCCAAAGCGCTCTTTATTCAAGTCGGCTTCGGGAGCACAGCAATGCATGGTATGGCCAACCCTTTGCTATCGTGTATTTGGAGACGGTCACATAGTGCTGTGATGTTGTGCTTCCCTAGCAAAATATCGTTATTTCACCTGCCAGACCTGTGACGGCGAGTCAGCACAAGCGCTCCTTCAAGTTTTGTTGGTCGAAAAGATGAGCGTTTGTGCTAACACCAAGCTTAGTGCGATGTTTAATAAAGTATTGTCGACTGGGAATGATCCTGTTAAAGAGGTATAAATGTCACGGGATTGCAAGCTAGGGTGGTGTTGGTATCGCGAGTCATGTTGTCAGACCAAAAGTGGGACCCACAATTGCGGAGCTATTGTGGCGCCTTATATCTGACACATGTCTTTACCATGGCCCCCTTTCTTGCGGCAACGCCCCGCGTACACACCGTAATTCTCTTCTTCCCGTTAACTCTTACATCTAGATCTTACGCTATAGGTTATTGTATTCTGTCCACTATATCGAACCTGCTCCAAGAGCTGTGACCATCATACATGTGTTGTCTTTTTGGACCTCGCTAAAAGGTTGTACATCGCAAGCGATCGTTGGGGTGATCCTTCAGGTTCACTTGATGTTGCAAGGTTTTAAAGACAATCTCCGTTTCGAAGGAGCAAATTCCTTGATGAGACTATAGGTCTCTTATTCTCTTTCAATGCAGTCGAAATATGAAGTGGTCTGTATGTAGACTTGACGTGTGCTTGACTGTTGAAGATGAGTTGTTTTTCCTGAGCCCGCTGATGAGTATCTGATTTACATGTAGGTACTCTCTCCTTGAAGCTGTGCAGGACCTGTTCACGCTTTTGTAGCATTCCCCGCGTGACAACTGATTTAGACGCCATTCAAGAACTTTGAACGGATTCATACAGAGATATAATTGATCAAGAAGGCCAGGGCATATCTCAGGGAATACTGTAGGAAATGATCAAACGTAGCACATCGCTTGCGCACAAGTGCTATGGCTAACTAGGCTATTTTCCGCTTCAAAATTGCAACATCACGTGTCTTGTTAAACAGCAGCTGGGTAATTGGCCTTCATCAGCTGATACCTGGCGAAGTGAAATGCCTGGGACGATGACTGGCTTGAAGCATTCTTTCTAGAGACTATTGCCGAGCCAAAGGCACCACGTTCGGGGCTAATAGTGTTCATATGATAGCCAGGATTTTTGTAGCAAGTGATCTGAACTAAGTAGGTATGTAGGGACTGCTGAAAACCCGCGAGCCTGAGACGTTTATATCAAACTACAGAGACGGGCGATGTGGTCGCGTCTTTTACCTATGCTACGTTTTCAGTCATTGGTGCCGCCGTCTTAGCACGGCTCACACTCTATCTCATGAATTGCAAGAGTATGAATGAAAAGGGGCTAAAGCATGAAGTTAATAATCTCAACTTTGAGGACTTGTTGAACGACAGTATATGGTTGTCCAATCTAATGAAAGTAGGCTTAGGTGACGGTTTTTGTTTCTTTTCATATGATTGTCGCACCCTAAATACGCCTGCTGAAGACTTTTTAACTGCATCCTCTTATAACATGAATTCTTGATAGCATCTGCGTACTGAACACTTGTTGAACTTACTGGTCTGACCCTAAGATGTCCGGAAGATGTTCTCTCCTGTGTTTAACCTTTCTTCTGGTATTATCCTATTAGTTATATATTGGTGAGCTCCTCACTATTAATAAGCGAATGCATACAAATGTTCGGCCCGCGTGTATGTATCGTGAACCCGTATCACTAGCCGCTAGTAGTGTACAATTACGAAGCATCACAAAGATACTCAAGCTGAGGATCTAACGGTTTTCAGCCTTGATATGACTGTTGTACTGGATGTTGACTACAGGCTTTCTCACTGGTGAAATTGGAAATCGGAGACAGCGTTATCTCACCACCTATGACTAATGTTCAAATGCTGGTTGGAAAAGGTTCCGTGGTCTGGTCGAAGATGAGGTGAATTTTCCCGGAATATCCCCGCGCGTTGGCCGGGGTTGGACGGCCAGCCCCAAGCACGCAACCGCGGCCCCAATCCTAGTACCCGTAATGGGGTCTCCTGTAGATCGCGTCATTCGCTCAAGGCTGCCTTTACGTACTAAATTGCCGAAATCCCACCCTCCTCGGCCGACCGAGTCCACTTCCCGCTGGTCGTTGATAATCTCGATTGCCCTTTTTGCTTGCAGAGAGAAACTGCTCCAGATTTCTTTCTGAGATACCCAACTGGTCGAAAGGCGAAGCATTTCCTGCATTAGAGAAGCTGTGGTCTTCACTGCTTGCTGGTTTCGTTTCACTTGTAGGTAAACTGACTGAAGAGTATCTGCAAATGGGATGCATGACGTGTATTATCAAAAATAAACTCACGGCATCCAGTGTCTACGAAAACGCATCCGAAAGTGCCATTCAACTCCTTCGGAAGATATTCCAGAATCGCGGAAGGCGGAAGCGGATATTCGCCATGGCGGCGATGTCTGTTGTCATCAATAAACCCTGTCTAGTAACCCAGTCGTCCCCCTACCTCAGTGCCGATTGTATCATCCACCCCTCCAATGTTGAAATCAACATCGGGCCGTGAACCAGCACCGACCACTAACAGCTGCAGAATTGCAATTCCACAAACCAACATTTACTTGGAAGTCAAAGCTCTATAGTGATTTGACATTTAGTTATGGCTTACGAAGCGGCCATTCTTAGGGTTCTCAATGGACTTTGACAATGGGAAGTGGAATCTTAAACTGGCGGAGACTTTCCGTCTTGAGCTCCAAGTGCGTTGCATCCCCTAAGCCTATTCCGATGAGGTATTCCGAGAAGGAAGAGGACAGTAAAAAATTCTGCATGGTATATAGGTTTCCTCGCGATCGCGTTTCTTCTCCTTCCTTCTCGATCGCTGGCGCTATGCAGTGACCTTATCCCTCTCCCGACACTACTGCCATCCAACGGCGAAGCTCTTGTGTCCTGAAACACTGTCTTCAGCCCTACCCGCTAGTCTTCCGTCCCTCCCGTCTCTTGGTACTTGGCGTCTCAATGGCTTGGCGAAGGCCCTTTGGAGACCGCGCTGCGGCGTCTGGCACCGTTACCGAGGGCCAGGTCGAACAGATCTCCAATGGAAGCGTTCAGTACATCGGTGAAAAGGGCGGCAATGATGCACCTCCGACATACCAAGACGCCTCCGGCGCGCCCGTTGAGAACAACTCACCTTTGGGGTATTCCGTCGGGCCGGTTACGATCACGTTGCTGAACATCACAATGATGATCGGTGCTGGTATCTACTCAACACGTGCGTCTTCTCTCCGGGCACTTCGCAGTTCACAGGGCATGCTGACATTTCCAAGCTGCTTCGATTCTCGCGGGCACTGGTTCCGTTGGTGTCAGTTTTGTCTATTGGACTCTTGGTTACTTGGTAAGTCATCAAGCCTTCCCATGCACGCAACCCGACAGCGGCAGCTAGAATGGCAACAATGGCTGACCCAATCACGCGATCAGCTATGCATGGCATCTGGAGCCGTCTACCTCGAGTTCACCGCATACTTCCCCAGTCGATCCGGTTCCGAAGTCGTCTTTCTCGAACAAGCCTACCCCCGTCCCATGTGGCTTTTCCCAACCACATTCGCGGTACAGAGTGTTATTCTATCCTTCGGAAGTGCAAATGCGACGGGTGGGTGCATACGCTAGACAAACTACGACATAATCGCTGATCAGATGCAAAGTCATGGCAAACTACCTGATTGCCATATCTGGCCATGAGGGCACAGATTGGCAAATCAAGGGGACCGCCTTAGCCTGCTACACCCTAGCCACACTGAGTATGTTGCAGTTAATCTTTACGTTGGTTTCAGTAGGCTGACCATCTTCAGCACTTGTGTTCAACACCAAGTACGCTTATTGGTTTTCCAACGGCGTAGGGATCGTGAAGATTTGCACTTTGCTTTTCGTCATCATCACTGGTTTCGTCGTTCTAGGCGGACACACAAAGGTTCAAGACCCCACGGCAAACTTCAAAGATGCCTGGTCTGGTAGCTCTTCGGCTACTGCCTACGGCATGACTACTGCACTTTACCGCATCATCTTCTCATACGGAGGTAATTTCCAATGGAATCTTCCGGCTACTGTCGAAACCGAAGTCGAGTCAACTAACGCATGAAAAGGTTATAACAACGCATTCAATGTTGCCAATGAAGTGAAGGTATGTGACCGAAGGGCCGAGGATCCCCCACAAGTAATGATATGCTTATTAGAGTGCCCCTGCAGAATCCCGTCAGATCCCTCAAGATCTACGCTACCGCAGCTTTGACCACGGTCTACGTCCTTTACATGTTCGCCAACGTTGCTTTCTTCGCTGCTGGTGAGCTATGACCCAAGTTGTTGGAAAACAGCCAACCGCCCCCAGAAAGGCTAACTGATTGTTTGTGATTAGTACCAAGAGAAGATCTTGAGAACTCCGGCTTGACAGTCGCAAGCCTGTTTTTCACGGCAGTCTTCGGGAACTCAGGGGCTGTGCGTGGTCTGAACTTTCTTATTGCACTGGCCTCTTTCGGAAATATGATCGCGGTTATTATTGGCCTTTCTCGCCGCATCAGAGAGTGCGGTCGCCAAGGCGTACTGCCTTGGACAAGATTCTGGGTATCTACGAAGCCTTTTGGAACGCCGTTGGGACCTTATGCCGTGATTTGGTTTCTGACTGCACTAATGATTCTTGCGGTGCCGGCTGGAGACGCTTTCACTTTTGGTACGAGCCCCATACATGGCCCCGAGCTCGGCGTGGGACCCGCCTCGCTAACGATGCCACAGTCAACGATCTCGGAGTCTTTCCCCAGGCCGCCTTTAACTTGGCAATGGCTGTGGGTATCTATGTCGTCCGCTGGCGGCGGAGTAAGCTGAACCTCCCCGAGCCCGAGTTCAAAGCGTGGCACGTGGTGATCATCTTCAACATCTGCATCCAGCTTTACCTTCTGATCATGCCATGGTACCCGCCAGCAGGCGGACAATACGCTGGTGACGTCAGCTTCTGGTATGCGACGTACGCGGTGACCGGTGTGGGAATGTGAGCAGTCTTTCTCCCCAATAATCTGACTCGCAATGGCTAACGAGATTGCAGTCTCCTCGCCTGTGCAGCTTACTACTGGTTTTGGGCATTCCTCATCCCAAAATGGAAGGGCTACAAGTTGCGCCAGGAACTCATTAGTTTTGAGGACGGTGCTCAGAGTAACCAGCTTCGGAAGGTCCCCTACGCCGACGTTGCCGAATGGGATGCTACTCATGACGCGGCTGGGCGCATCATCAACAACACCACCGTTACCGAAGCTCCGGTCCAAGAGAAGGCTGTGCGCACTTCATCTGAGGGCAGCAACTCTGATGTCGGTAACTCAGTTTCTGTGAGTAATCGGAGAAACGGCGGTGTCTAGCTTATGAGATAATGGGATGTACTGCATGAGCCATGTCTGATCGTCATCTGGTACGGGCGCTGGTGATTAAGTAGCCGGATTAGAGTTCTTGCCTTTTCCCCGAGAAAACCAGCATTCCCACGGCACGCGGGGTATTGCGCAACACAAATCAATACATTATTGAGCTTGCGCTGATTGCGCCGAGTCGAATGTGCACGTGAAAGGCTGCATGAACATGAGTCGCCCTGCCAAGGCAGTCACTCAGCCTAACTAAGCTCAACCTGGGATAACTGCACTGAGGCAATCATCACGATTAATGAGCCACAATTGTGGCAGATTACGGCTACCGTTCAAACTGCTGATAAGCAATCTATCGGACAACATTGCCTTGGCTTGGAGGGTGCGCTAATGTTGGTTTCGTCACACAACCGCGAGACACATGGGAAGGGTGATCCCGTTCCCTACCGGAGCACCCGGCAAGAAGGTTATTTAGACAGCTTCGGCATGCCTGGCAAAGCGAGCCCGGCCGAGGGATGGGCCATGAAGGGCCAGACTGGGGACTTGGCGCGGCACAGGGCCGGCTGGGTTCCTGCGCTTGAGTCAGGGAATGCCCTCGTCACACAGCGCGGCTGTGGCGTTAGCGCCTCGCAAACTGTCGTTCTCGTTGTCTGCGAGGCTCTCGTGCTTCGGACTTTGGCATCGCTATCTTTTCCATCTTTGACTCGTCACATTTCATGCAGCATCAGATGATTGAACAAGGCACATCGATTACGTCAATGTCAATCCTCAATATCGAAATGCCCTTGTTCCCCCAACCCCTCAGACCCGCGCAAATCCATCCGTCTGCTCCTCGCCGGCCCTCATCGGCCAGCATCCGCAGTCGTCTCACGGTCCAGTAAGACGTCCGGGCGTGCACAACCGCGCGGGCGGGCGGGCGGCCTTGAATCGCACGCGCATCACACGTGGTTCGTGGGCTCGCGATAACGGGCGGGGTACTTGTCAATTCTGCATGAAAGGGTAAGAAAGTGCATGTACCAAGTGGAGAGCTGATAGCACACCGATGGCGAAATCGCCACAGAATTGAGTTCCCCGATATTAGGTCAAGCAACGTGATCCCTCTTTCAACGCCCATCAACTCCATCATGGACCCAGCAAAATGGCCGGAGAGGTTGCACGGGCTCACCAACCGACATGTCAATGTGAAACCCCGACCCAGCGGACATCGGACGAACCAATGGACCATTCAGCCGGCTCCAGGGGTCATGATTCAGTCCTGGCCTCACCCTTCCCACCGGCGCAATCGCTCATGCCGAATTGAGGCGAGTGGCTCACTGCGTTAAACCATCTTTAGGATATATTGTAACCCAACTTCAAGAAACTCTGCGTGGGGCGAATCAATATCAGACAGCCCGCATGCATATTGTAGTATTTCGAGGTTTTATGCCAAGAGACAGATGACAGATTCCCAGGGCTCACGCACATGAGAGCCAAACCAGAAATAGACATAGTTCAACGGCTGGAGATACCCACGAGGCGTTCCTCGAATCTTGGGTCGGTGTATACGGACCTGTCCGCGGCAATGCGACGGTGCCTTTGAAGATACTTATGTGCAGCCCACGATCCAGCTGCTTGGGATCCTCTGTCTTGGTTCTTCTAGGGTCGCAGCAGATGGCCGCATCTGGTATCATGCTCCGTGCTCGCTGAAACGTATAGCTGGACTAGATATTCATTCTTTCTTCAAGCAGATGATTCCTGGTCTCTGGTCTTCTTGCATCTTCGTTTCAACTTGACATGAAAAGCCTCCTTCAGTGGGCGCTTGTCCTGCTGCCATGGGCAGCTGAGACCGTCCGAGGTCAGGCCAGTAACACGACCACTTCGCCGCTTGATCTCATCAGCCAGATCCCTCAATGCGCAGTAAGTTGTCTGTCGCGGCGCCGCGGATATCAGCGAGATCTAATCCGTGTATAGGTATCGTGCGTCACCGATTCTTTTCTTGGGTCAGGATGCCCACTCGACAACATCGCTCAGTGCGTTTGCACCAACACGACTCTGTTGGAGGGTCTCTCTGGATGCGTGCAGACCTCCTGCGAATGGCGAGATCAACTGAGTATGTTTTCTGGTTTCTGGAATTGCAAGCATAGCTAACAGACAATTACAGAGTTGTCGTATATGACCGATGACCTTTGCCGACCGTACCCCCACGCATCCCGAGATCTCGAAATCAAGTTGGTCGTAGCCGTGCTGGCTGTGCTTACGTTCCCCGTTGTGATTCTGAGACTTGTCTCAAGACGGTCTATCGCCGGAAAGCTGGAGCTGGACGATTGGACTACGTTGGTGACAGCTGTAGGTGCCAATGGCTTCCTTTTTGTCTCCCAGTAAATATTGACCCGTGCGGAAGATTGTCTTAGCCGCCACTATGGGATGTGTCATCGCAAGTAAGTTGATCGTAGGCTCTATTTCCACTCATCCCACTAACATATTCAAGGCGCCAAACTCGGATTCGGCCTCCACTACTGGAACGTCAACCCCGCCAACGCCCAGCGCATCATCCAAGTAAGTTTCCAGTTACGACTATTCATGCCTCGATCGTGCACTAACTGTCATGGCAGCTTTACTATGCTGTTCAAATGCTCTACATTATCGTTCTCATATTGGCCAAAGTGTCAATCGTCGCGCTTTTTGCGCGAGTTTTTCCAAGCCGCAAGTTTCAGCTTGTGAACAGACTTGTCTTTGTTTTTCTCGTTGGCCATGGACTGGTCTTTACCTTCGTCATCATGTTCGAATGCACACCGATTGCCGGCATCTGGGACCGGACTCTCATTCGTAAATGTGTGGACCTCAACGCCGTGGCACTGGCCAGCGCTATCCTCAGTATTGTCGAAGATATTGTTATTCTCGCCATGCCCATTCAGCAGCTCAGTCAGTTGCAACTCGGGTCGAAGAAGAAGCTGGCGGTCATCTTCATGTTCAGCTTGGGATCATTGTGAGTTCTTGCTCTTCATCGGCCTTTTGCAATTTCAAGCGCCCCATGCTAACAGACATTAGCGCGTGCATCACTTCGATCGTTCGTCTTCGATGGCTGGTCCTGTTTGCTGATTCATACGACACCACATGTACGTTGCATAAGCATTTGACCCTTGAGGCTGTCTCAAGTTCTGACATCGTTGTACAGGGGATAACGTGGACTTTGTGACATGGAGCATCACCGAGATATCGGTCGCACTGATGTGTGGAAGCCTTCCCGCACTGCGACCCCTCTTCAAGAAGATCCCTGGTCTTCTTACAACGATCCGCGGACCGACCGTGGAAATCAAAGAAACACACGACAGAGGCAGCAGTCACATGTCGTTGCGCGACAAGGGTGTTATCCCCATGTCGCCAAAATCGAGCTCAATGGAGCCGGATGTTGAAGAAGACATGATTATAATTCATATTTCAAACGATCACGACCCGCGGATGAAACCTCTTCCACCACCGCCGCTGCAGCCACTTACCTATCAACCCCCTTGGCGAGGAAGCGGAAGCGTTAGTGGTGGGCACAGGACCCCAAGCCTGATGAGTCCAAGCCTGTTGAAATCGCCGAGAACGCCGAGAACACCAATGACTCCGATGACCCCAGGCAGCATGAGAAGTGTCAGAAGAGAGGCGGATGCAGAATACGAGATGGACCTTCGAAGCGTCGTGAATACGAAGACGTGGATGTAGACGGATTTACTTGATACCCCCTTTCCTAACTTTTCTTCTAAACCTTCAATCTTAGTATATATTCAATATTATCCGTACATATGATGGTATCATGGCACGAGTGATGTTGCGCAAATGATATCGGCGTATCAACCTTCGATCTCGTAGGTGGTGTGAGATTCCCTGCTGAAGTATTCGCACGGATAGCAAGAGTCTAGCTGAATGTACCCTTCAGTGATTTATGGCTCAACGGACGTTGGGGACGACAGCAAGCTCATGATCCATCCAGTGCGAGCCTGATGCAAAAGAATGTGGACGATTACCTCAGTTGGGGACGCTCCTAAGTGGGTCAGTTGTCGCAATCATTTTACGAATCGGAGTCCATGGAGTTCTAAGTTGTAAGAGACAGAGAAAGACGACCTGACGTGCAGGCCAAGATAACCGGCCAAGACGCGCCGAGTGAGGCTCGGGCGAGCGCCAAGTCCAACACTTCAACAGTAAGATTCACTCAAGCGACGCTTATCATATGGAACGAGGCGCAGTTGAGTGGTTGACGAATCTTTTCTGTATCATCTTCCCATGTCAGAGTTGGGGAAGTCCGGGCTATTATCATCATCCATCGATTTCTCTTTTGGAGCCTGCTTTCCGAAGTCGTCAATCGGATCGAATGGACGAACATTTTGGGACGTAGAGGAAAATACATGTGCCGTCTGACTGCATGCCTAGAACGAGGCGTACGTGCTATGGCGTCCGAAGGATTGGTGCACTAAGTAAGGCTGGCGCCGTTCTATGTTGGCTGACGTTCCCGACTGAAGACGAGGGTTGGACATAAAGGGCTGTTTATCTTTCATCTGTCGTTCATTTTCTAAGCCGTTCATTTTCTAAACTCAGATTATCTCTATTCCCTCCAACTTTGACTTCCGACACACACCAACAGCGCACACAGCAAGACTTAAGAGCCAAGATGGGATCGCTCAATCCCCATGACAACTTGGTCGCTCTTGCCGAGTCGCTCTTGCAAGATGCTAGAAACCTTGCATCGACAGACGATAAGGCTTTTAAGTCTAAGATGTCCATGAAGGCAAAAAAGATGCTCCAACTTACGGCAGTGCCAGAAGAAATGATTGGCGGGTTTGCCGTGGCGGTAAGAGTCCCCTCGATAACCTGACTAGTTTCAATGTTAACAAAAAACATCGAATGACTGACTCTGGTGAAGATGGGCGAAATTGGCGCACTGAACCAGTTCATGGAATGGAAGCTCTTCGACGCTATCCCAGACAAGGGCAGTATCTCGTACGCGGCTCTGGCCACGTCTATCGACGCAGATGAGAGCCTCGTGGGTAAGTGGGACGTCTGAAAAGGAAGAAATGGTTTGCTGACTGGCTTGATTTGAAGCCCGCCTTGGCGGCATGCTTGTTTCTACCGGCAGACTCGTCCAGACGTCATCGGGCCACGTCGCTCACTCGGCGTCTTCACGAATGTTCAAACACAAGAACCCGATCGGCAATCTCTTTCGAATCATGTTCAGCCATGGCCTTCGCGGATACACGCATTGGCAGGACTACTTCGCCACATACGGAAACCATGAACCAGCCGGCGTATCACACAATCCGTACACATTTTCCTGGGGTCATCCGGAGCTCACCGTGTGGGAACACACTGATCTTGACCCGGAGAGAGCTGAGATCTTTGCATCTGCAATGAGATCCCAGGGTTCCATCGCCGGGCGGTACGGCGGACCGGCCTCGATCTATGACTTTTCCTGGATCGGAGAGGAAGCCATGTCTGCCGCATCGGAAGCAAGGCCGCTGATAGTGGATGTCGGTGGAAACCACGGCGATACGCTCAAGCATATTCTCGAAGCTGTGCCAAGCATTCCGCAGCATCGATGCGTCCTCCAAGACCGCCCAGATGTGATCAGCGAGGTGACGAGGGAAGACGATCAGGGGCTGAGCGAGGTCGTCAAAGTCGGGCACGACTTCATGCAGGAGAACCCCACTAAGGGTAAGTACGCCCTGTCAGATAGGAACAAAAAGGTATAATGTCCGCGGGCCGCGCATCAGTGCTAATAGTACGGTTGCTTGACAGGCGTCATGATCTATCTGCTCCGCCGAGTACTCCACGATTGGTCAGACCAGGCCTCTATTGAGATTCTGACGCATCTCTGCGCCGCATTGCCCAGAGATGAGCCGCGCGCTAGAGTTCTCATAATGGAACAAGTGGTGTCGGACCCGCCGTCTGTTAGAAGCGCGGCGGCTGACATGATCATGCTCAACATTGGGGGCAAGGAGCGCACCGAAGAAGGGTTTGAGAAGATCGCCAAGGCATCCGGTTTGAAGATTGTCAGAATCCACCGCAAGGAGGGAACAGAGATTGGAGTGGTTGAGTGTGCGAAAGCTTGAGGAACGGGCTCTTCCGGGTGGCTGCTTATGGCGGGGTGTCATGAGGCAGGTCATGATGTAGGCTAATGTCATGGCACGAGCCGGGCACTGGCGTGCAGGGTGCCAGATGTATTCGCGGTCCCGAGCGACCGACAGAATAACCGCTACGTTCGTTTCTTTTCGCACTTTGGAATGACCCGGCTGTCTGGCCCTTTTGCTATCGAGGTTGAGATGACATATAGCAAAACCCGGCGCTCTGTTCTGTTTGGGATCCCGACGAGAAAACCATGATACGGCACTGATTCTCATCCAATGCGAGGAGGTTAATCTCAGATCTGTGAAACGTCAACCCAAATTGTTTGGGTCCTCTCTAACGTCGCAAACGTTCAAACTTTCAAAGTTGAACCTCCTCCATCCACAGCACCACTCGGGCTGAAGCTGCATCTGCTCAGACCAGTTGTAACACCGATTCTCCGGAGGCCGCAGACGCACGTCCGCTTTCAACCGTGCCGCGTCCGCAGCCAAGCGATTCGGCCGGTGATGGGCCGATGGGCTCGGACTGGCACGTTCCTACAAAGAACCTGTGCAGCTACAGAACTCGAAATCTGCACGAGGCATTGTAAACGGACTCCCGAAAAACGACATGAGATATGACGAGGAGAAAAGTGTGTCGGGTTGCACATGGGGCGGCCATTGAATAGCTCAATGTCGCGCAACACCCTGACCAGTGTCCCGACGTATTTCCCCCCAGTCCCTTCTTTCGCCCATACAACTCCAAACCTGAGCAGAAAATCTCCAAGAGCGACTTGAAGAATGGAGGAAACGAAGTATGTGAATGTCGCGCAGGAGGAGAGGGAGGGCACCGAGGGCTTGGGAGGAACAACGACAGATGAGGCCATCACAACAGACGAGGATGGCCAGTCGACTGAGGACTCACCGCTGATGACGGATTCAACACCGTCGACGCCAGCACTTGAAGCGTTCGCAACGCCACCAGAGTCCAGGATGCCTTCAAGACCGGCGACGGCTTGCTCCAATACGAAGGAACAACCTGGTGAGGCTCGACGTATAGCACGCCGGCAATCACGGGCAGAGTCCAACAAGAGCGGCAGAAGCGGCTCGACTCCGCGCCAGGAAAGAACAGGAAGCAACGAAAAGCAGGAGAGAGTGTCGCAGTCAGACGAAGATGTCTTTCCTGAAGGTGGAACCCGCGCGTGGCTCGTAGCCGCCGGCACAGCCGCCATTCTGTTCTGTTCTTTGGGATATACCAACTCTTTCGGCGTCTTCCAAGCGTATTACATGCGGAATCAATTGTCGGATCACACGCCTGACGACATTTCATGGATTGGATCCCTCCAGGCTTTTCTGGTTTTTGCTTCTGGCGCAATCGGCGGACCCGTTTTTGACCGTTATGGTGCCTGGGTAAGCTCGAACTCCTCCCCAGATGCTCGTCGCAAACACGTTCGTCGACTGACGAACTCCAGGTTATTCGCCCAGCAGCAGGCTTATACATCTTTTCCATCATGATGACCAGCCTGTGCCACGAGTACTGGCAGTTCATGCTGGCTCAGGGCGTGTTGAGCGGTATCGCGAACGGACTGATCATGTTCCCTGCCATGGCCGCCACGCCGCAGTATTTTTGCAAGAGAAGAGGCGCAGCCATGGGTCTCGCAATCGCAGGCTCCTCGGTCGGTGCGGTGATATTCCCCATTGTTCTCTCGGAGTTGCTGGACCGCCTGGGCTTCGGCTGGGCGGTTCGAATCTGCGCCTTCATCATGATCCCGCTGCTCATCTTTGCGGCCTTCGCTGTGAAAGCGCGTCTCCCTCCTCGAAAGACTCGATTCTTCCTGTGGACCGCCTTCAGAGACCCTCTTTACGTGTTCCTCATCCTCGGGGTTATGTTCATGTTCATCGGCATGTTTATCCCAATGTTCTACCTTCCGACCTTCGGTATCGCGCACGGAATGGACCAAAATCTCGCAGGGTATCTCGTCGCGATCATCAACGGAGCTTCGGTTCCCGGTCGAATCATTCCCGGAATCTTGGGCGATAAGCTAGGACGCGTCAACATTCTCTTCTTCGCCGGCCTACTCACCGGCATCATGATCTTCTGCTGGACCAAGGCGACGACCAACGCGGGCATTATTGTGTTTGCGGCATGTTATGGCCTCACGTCAGGGGCCATCATCTCTGGAGGGTCTGTGGTCTTCACCTTATGTCCGAAATCGCCGAAAGAGATTGGAACGTACATGGGGATGGGCATTTCGATTGCCTCGGTGGCTGTGCTAATCGGTCCGCCGGTCAGTGGTGCCCTTCTGAACGAGTACCACGGCTTCACGCAGATTTCCGTCTTCGGCGGTGCGGTCTGTATGGCGGGCGTTGTCTTTACGATGATTGCCAAATATTTCTCAAGGGAGGGACTTCTAGGCTTGGTGTAGTGGCTATGGACGGGCTGGTCATGCGATATGACCCGCAATGGCAGTGGACACGGAGGAAAGCAAGTATGGTTACTGGTTAGGTGGTGTTCAGCCATGAGGACGGTAGCCGGGCGATATGCTGTACGGAGGCTTTCTTAGGCACTAAGGAGCAAGGGGGCGGACGAGATGTCTAGCTGGCGGGTGGGACATTACTGGCGGAATTTGCCCTCCTATTCGCTGAGCCGGCAGCATTACATACATCTCAGTCAAATCAGCCCCCCGTCCGGCTCAGAGATAACTGGCCTGTAGTATGAGTTACGTGGTCTTAGGCCATACACAAAGAATGAATCACATGTACCATGGTAGAGGGGCATGTTCGACTATAAGGCACACACGGTTCACTGTGTTGATGCCATACTACTGGGAGGTTGATCAAAGACATCTCGGTTCAAGCCGGCAGTTGTGCCATTGCCTCCCTCTGTTTCCATCTCACACAGGGAGTGCACCTTGTACGATGAGGCAGTTCCGTGAAAACCTTCCATCAAGCCCATGATCCTTTCTATCTATACTACCTACCCATGGATACATACTGACCGTAAAGCCAGAAAACCAGTTTCACCTAGCGCTACATCACGTAGCAATTCATTAGGGCAGGACAACCCCTGAGCGCGATCATCGGCTCCGCTCCGCCCCTTCGACTCAAAACGGGCGTAAGGTACCCACTAAGCTGGCATGGAAAGCGACTTTCACCACGTATCCTTCGCAGTAGCCAGCCTTCCGGCCAATTGGTACCTTTTTGGGCTACGCCTCCCGCGGGACCCAGGAGCCGAGTCGCAACAGTAAAAGTACAGTTTGCTCACAGTGATAAACCGAGAGCGACTTGGTTGTCTAAGCTGCCAAGTCACTTTCTAGGTTCAGCTATAGGGTATCCTCTTGGTACAAGAAACATGAAGTGTGAGAAGGCCTCAGGCCTATTGACAACTCGTGGCCTCAGATCCGAAGTTTCTCCATGTTCTGCCTTTTCATAGAAGATAACTATTCCTCGCCTCCTGACTCATTAGAGTATTCATCACGATCCTCGTGCTACTATCGTATTCAATCTTGTCTAGGCGGTACTCACAATCTCCACTCGCTCTTGGCTTCTGTAGAGGAACCAACTAGAATCCTGACCGGTAGACTACGACTCAGTACAGACGCATGGCTGTACCCTTGCCCATCACCAAAGGACCGATTCGCAGCGCCTCAGAGTTACGCGGCGAGGGGATTCACATCCTGAAAAGCTGTGCATAACCAAACCCTGGCAACGGTCTTCGTCTACGATTGGCAGAGTCTAAACCGCACGAGGCCCTGACGTAACGAACCCAGACTGGGGGGTCGGGGAAGTTCTGGCACAGACCGAGCTCGAACCAGCCGGCAGGGATGTTCATCTGTCGGAATGCCCTCTCATTGGGTGTGCTGGGATGGCTAAGTGCCAGCGGCGGACGCTAATGCAGCCTGCTGACGCCGCTAAAATTTGGTGCAGGGGTGTTAAATCCGTCCCGCTCGTTTGTGTCGATATGCTTCACCTTTGTCGATTACAAACCCTCTTCTCCTTGGAGTCGTGGTTCCAGATGGCATATCTACCTCGACTATGCAACTTCATGACTAGCGGTCGAGGAGGAGAATTGTTGAGACCAGCACGACACAGTCTCTGCAATACCATTGTTAACAAAAGGAGGGGCAGTCCACGAAAATTCTGTTCTCTAGAGAACGGCAGAGCTTTCATCCAGGCCCGAGTCATTGGGAAATGACCCCACCAGAGGGCAACGAAACCGATTCGACAATAGAGTTGCGGGCTTGCGGGAGCATCCTGGTCACCCTCAATGGTGGAAGACCGTCAGCAGGCTGCATATATGGAACGTCAGCCTTGATCTCCGAGCATCATTGTCCAACCCATTGTCATCGTTCCCTCACGGACGACCTCCGCCTGCCGCCGCCGCCACTCGCGACGCTGCTGACGCTGGCGTGCCAGATCCGGTAGCTTTTCGACGGGAAGAATAATATCGGTAGAGCGGCAAACTATTACGAACAGCAAGCAGCTAGACCACTCAAGGTCGACGATGGAGATGTGTTTCACCCCTGGAGCAGCCGTTCCCGCAGGGACGTCGATCCCGGTGCTGGCGAATCCGCGTCTGGCGGAGCTGCGTGATCCTTCCGAAGACTGGACCGGCGTGACCAGCACGGCGGAGAGGCGCAAACTGCAGAACCGCTTAAACCAGCGAGCACGGCGTTAGTCAATCCTTACTAAGACTGTTTCTCTCACGTTCTTACCTTGGTCTCGGTGTTGGATTCGTTGACTAACACGAATACTCCTTTCGGAAAACAGGGAGACGAAATCAAAAAGCAAAGCAGACAACACCGCCAGATGCGGACTCAGAATTCGATCTGACCGCGGCAAAGATAAAATTAGAAACACCATCAAGCGCAAGCCCCGAGTCCAAGTCTCTCGTAGCCACCACCCCCAAGAACGTGTTCAGAAACAACGTCTCCAAGCTCTGCGAGCTCGGCAACGAGGAGACGCGGCAGATGCTCTCCATGTTCGCTGAGGAGGCGTACGTCGACTACATCAACGGCAAACCCTGTCCGGCGTACCTCACGACCCTCGTACGCGTCAACGTCTTCCACGCCATGGTCCGCAACGCCCAGGCCCTCGACTTCAACGCGGAGTGGCTCACCTACGAGGCCATCTCCCCCTTCAACAAACTGGGTCCAGGCCTCGGCCCATCAACGACAGGGCCGTCATGCCCGGAGAACATGCGCCCCACGGCGCTGCAGCTTGCCGTCGAACACCATCCCTGGATCGACTTCTTTCCGCACCCGCAGATGCGGGACAATTTCCTGCAGATCGTGGCGGACAAGGGCGAGGACTACATCGACGAGGATGACATGTGCCGGGACATTGTGGACGTGGGGGCCGGGGCCGGGGTCGAGGAGGCCGCGCTTATTGTATGGGGCGAGCCCTGGGACCCGAGGGGGTGGGAGGCTACGGAGTCCTTTTTGAGGAAATGGGGCTGGCTTTTGGTTGGCTGCACGGAGATGCTCGAGGGGACGAATTATTGGCGGGAGAAGCGAGGGCTGAAGAGGCTCAAGTTTAACTGACAGAGCTTGCAGAGTTCACGTTCTCGACCTTGACATCAAAGGCTGCGATGAGATTACGATTCCATCATGCTCAGCTATGGTCCATTCTATCCGAACACACAACCTACGACCGCTCTTTCTGTCTCTTCTCCAGAGTCTCCAACATCTTGTGGAAGTGCGGCAAGAACTCTTCACACTCGACCTGGAAGCCCTCATGGGCACCAGGGACATCGAAGCGCGGACACTCCAGAATCTTAGCTTGCTCATCCACCGACCTCGCGTACCACGCATCACGGCTCCTCACGCCCCTCATCAGCCCAACACTCGTTCCGTTCTCCCTAATGCGATTGAAGTTCGGCGTGTACCCCATCAACGGCCCAAACTCATTCGCCCAGAAATTCTGCGCGTTCCACGGCTCCGGCTCCATCGGCCTGGGCACGCCCTCGTCGTCGTACCCCAGCAACTGCGGCTCGAACTCCGCCGCCGCGGCCTCCATCCCCTGCGCCTCGTATACCTCCCTTAGGTGGTACATGTTGTCGTAGATGGCCGCGGCGTCGGGCAGCAGGTTGGTCGCGGGCGACTCGTGCGCGACGATGTGGTCGACCATCTCGGGGAAGTCGTGCGCGAACTGCAGCGAGAAGAGGCCGCCGGAGCTGCTGCCGAAGACGATGGCCTTGTCGAAGCCGAGGGCGCGGATGACGGCGCGGATGTCGCGGGCCTGCTGGGGCGGGCTGAGCTTCTTGGGGGCCGCGACGCGGCTGGCGGACATTTGGCGCCGGTCGAAGGTGGCGCAGGTGTACGCGCTCGAGAGGGCGGTGATGAGGGGGTTGTATTGCCGACCGTGGCCGTTGCCGCCGGGGACGAAGACTATGAGGGGGCCTTGGCCTTGGTACCAGTAGTGGAGGTCACAGCCTTCGTTGTTGACGATTGCTTTTGTCGGGCTAAATGCCATGTTGGACGAATGATGTGATGGCTAATGACCTATGTGGATGTAATGCATATAAAAATGGTTATTGGAAAAGAGATCAAAACTTATTCCTCAGCCTGGGGTCTAGAACTCGGCAACCCATATTCAGGAGACACGTGGTATTTAAATATGGATCTGCCAACGCAACCAGAGCCCCTGCAAAGAGTCTTGTTGGAACCCTTCAGAGCACCGCCGGGCAAGATAGGTAACCTAACGTACGACACAGCCACCCAACAGGAAATTATCCGCCAAGTCAAGTTTAGCCGGTTATCCCCACTCGAGAACTTATCCCAGCAGGCATGAGTAGTCGTCACTGTTGAAGACGCATAAATGACGCGGCTCTAAGCCCATGGAGATATAAGAATTAGAATAAGCTTACTTGTGTGACTCGAACGGCGAAGAACGGCGCCTAGTTTCTCACCAGCTGACGACCGAGAGTACGAGTCCGATTTGCCGAAGAAGCCGAGTGGGGCTAACCGGGCCTCGGGGCCGGTATCGGCTCCACAATTCCGGCCCGAGGGACCGGGTGCCTACCTACCAGGCAATAGACGGAGTCGAATCATAAATCACTCAAATCATAGGTACGCATCGAGAGATGTATTTGTTTATGCAAGATAGTATATTCAGGCTCATATAAGCAAATATTAAGAGAGTTCACAACAAACAGCAGCCATTCGCAACAACGCGACAACTGCCCACCTCACACCCCAGGCCTACTCATTTCTGAAGCTTGCGTTCAAGCGAACTACGCGCAAAGCCAATCATTCGCGACAAGTAGTCCACCTTAGTTGGGGGCGATCCAGGGTCTGCACTTGTTCGCAGCACAGAAGCCGTTGCAGCACAACGCGACGAACTGGCCGTTCTTGTAGCAATCCCCGTAGATGCCCAGGCAGAAGCCCTGGCAGCTGACCGAGATGATCGGCTGGGGCGGGCCGACGATGATGGCCTGGTCGCCATTCTGGTTGTTGATGGACTGGACGAGCGTCTTTTCGCCGGCGGTGTTGAACTGGCAGTTGGAGTAGGCGAAGTAGTCGTTCGCGTCGATCTTGTCGATGGCGATGTTGTTGTCTGCGATCATTGATTAGCGTCGGTGTTCATTTACCTAAGTAAGATGCGATGGTGGTGATGTGTGTGACTTACTTGTGGGGTACGTGTTGCCGTCGGCTGGGATGGCGAGGTCGTAGGAGGCTGGGCCGCCGTGGAAGGTGAGGTGAACGGTTTGCACATCGTCGCGCTCCTCGAGGGGGTGGCCTAGGGCGGGGAGAACGAGGGCGAGAGCCGTGAGGAGGGTTGCGGCGAACTTCATGTTGAGAGATGGAATGATACAGCGATTGAAGTCTGAGGATGGGTTGTGAACGATGGAGGCTCTGGTCTGTGCGATGAGGCGATGAGATGTCGAGCTGGTGTTATCTTCTGGAGATCATGTCGAGCTTATATAGCCATACAGGCTCGCAAGGTTCTGCTCATCAATACAGCGTGAGGCGCAGAGATCACAAACTCGGTGAAGCGTATGACCCGACCCGTTCATCACTCTCACGATCCTCGTCGTGCCCCAACGGCAGCACCCAGCCCGCGATCAACACGTCGTCCTCCCTCAACCGTCGACGCCGCATCCATCATGAGAATAGCCAATACGAAATGCATCTGTACAACCCAACGATAATCTGTTTTCGTCTCGTCATGTCTACTCACGACCAAATCCCGCTTCGTTCAGCTGGCATCCCTATTGCATGCCTCATACCAACTGCGGTTAAAGGCCGATCAACCTCGTGTAGATAGCCAACACCCCGCCAAACGAGCCTAAACGTCCCGCTTGTGGCGTCACTTCAGCCAATGTCGACGTCGCGCGTAAGCCACTACGGCGGAAGCGATCCTGGGGCTGACTGGGACCCTGGCGTGATGTCTTCTACCCTTGGCTTCCGAGGAGCTGAAAAAGATTTACTGTTGAGTGGGCAGTTAGGGATGACATGACAATTGCATGTTCCCAGGACGCTGTTCCCCACGATTCCGCCTGCTGTAGCCTGCCTAGTCGAATGTGTGCATCGTCGATCTTCCTGCCAAGTCTGGGGAGGCACGGCACCGGCACATTCGGCGGCGGAAATGTCAGAATCAGATCGCCTCAGGGCTGACGCGGGGCAACGGTCCCTCGTATTTGAATGCCGCGCCCCACGCTATCGCGGGGCGAAAGAGCAGGAAAAATATATATTTTTTCAGAGGCATGTCTCAGCTTAGGGCTTCTAGCACGTGTAACGTTGGACTTGGGGTGGGAAGACTGGTTCTGAATAAGACATTATCGCCGGCGGTGAGCTGGGTACACTTACAAAGGCCCGGCGATGGAGACTTAAGGGAACAAGTTGTTGTGATGACAGGGAAATTCAACAGAAGGCTACTAGACTTTTCGAGCCAATGATCACGCATCACAACACGTTCAGGCAGAACTCGATTTGTGCTCCTTTCGGGTATTCACAGCTCGGTGATCGCCCACAGCTTCCGCCTACGTGGGTCTGACATCTGCACCCTGCAGTCAGCTGCGTATTCCCAGATCTCAGTCCCATCCAATGATGACGGAAGAGTCTCAGATGGCGTTCAGCAGGAAACCAGATTACTCGTTGGAGGCTGACTGTGAAGCTTGTTCGGGAGACATATTATCGCAGTCTGACCATCGTTGTCTTGGATCTCCAAGACATCTTGTAATTTTGTGCTTCCTCCCTCTTAACGGTCACCCACATGACGACGCCTCGTCGCCCGCTCTACGTCTCGCGCATCTATCGAAACCGTGAGGTACGACCGCACTCATGCAAAGGACATCTCGTGAGGCGGCCCCAACCCCGCCACCCTCATCCCCTTCGTCGACGGCAAGCAATCATCCCCATCCCACGGATCGCAGTCCGGCTTGCACACCTTGCCATTCTCCGGCACAACCCCGTGCTCGAAATACTCCTGAATGACCTTCTTCATACACTTGCTCCCCGTCGCGAACGCGCAGTGGCCAATCGACTCTTGCACCACCACCGTCGACCCGGGATGCCGCGCGCTCATCTTGTACGCATTCGTCAACGGCGTCACGGGATCCAGCCTCGATGAGAGAAACAGAAGCGGCGCCGCCGGCTTCCCCTCCACCACCGCCGGATCGTGCGGCGGCGTGCTGAACGGGCCCGTGTACCGCCACTTCGGCCGGACATCCCACGCCGAGCAGGCGACGCGGATCTGCGACCAGTACCCCGCGAACGTGGGCGACTGGCCGACCAGTTCCGCAACGTAAGCGGAGAACGCCGCCAGCGTCAAGTTCGTGTGGTCCTCGGCGTCGCCGCACAGGATGCTCTGGCCGCCGTCGCCGAAGGTGGAGGGCAGTGTGGTGCCGTTGGGCGCGGCGCAGGCCTGGTCGAGCTCGGGGATGGACGCGACGGCGTCGTTGAGGAGGAGGGTGTAGTTGCCGTCCACGGCCGCGCTGAGTTTTTCTGCGAGGGGGACGAACTTGCGGTAGGGATCGTAGAGGGGTCTCTTGAAGGCGTCGACAACGTCGTAGCCCGTGAGGATGTGGGTTAGCTTGCCGTCGAGCACGGAGATGGGCTCGTCGTCGAGGCGCTTGACGAGGTCTGATACTCGCCATCGGATGTCCTCCCATTTCGTGTCTGAGTGGCGGTAGAGGGCGCACTTTGATTCTGCGGTGAAGCAGGTCTTGTAAAATTGTTCGAGGAGTTCCTCGGTGTCTTGAAGGTTTGTCCTCCAGCCCTGTCAAATGAGGTCAGCAATCTTGCTCCCACCCGTCATCCTGAGACGCGATGGACTCACCCCTTCGACGTAGTCATCGGCATCGACTATGCCATCAACGATGACTCTGCCGACGCGACCGGGATACATCGACGCAAAAGTGTTGCCAAGAAGACTGCCATACGAAAAGCCAAAGTACTGCAGCCGCAATGGTCCCTTGTCCTGACGAGCCTGCAACGGCTTCTGCGCATCACCATCTCCGCCACCCCGGGCGGCGGCAGCCTCTTCCTCACGCAGCTCCTGGATCTTATCCAGAATATGAACCATGTCCCGAACAGTCGACGCCGTCGTCGCAAACGGGATAATCGACCCGTTCACCGCGCTCTGCGAGCAAAGCTTCCCATACCCCTGGACCCTAGCCCACTGCCTCCTCAACGCATCCGGACCAGCACTCATCGGTCCCACGGCCAGCCTCTGAATCATATCGGTGCCGCGCGCCAGGCTGTCCTCGCCATAACAATCTGGCCGCGGGGTGGTGAACTGCACGCCGCGGGGGTCCCAGCTGAGGATCTCGTACTTCCTGCGGTCGGAGTCGGCGGTCTCCTGGTGGGCGTAGCCTTCTGAGAGCATGAGCTCGACGCCGGAGCCGCCGGGCCCGCCCGGGTTCGTGAAGATGGTGCCACCGAACGCCGGGTCCGCGTCGGGCACTTTGGCGGGACGTTTGATGATGGCGAGGGTGACATTATAAGGGTTGGATGCGTCGAGCCAGTCGAGGGGCACGATGAGGCGCGTGCAGTTATACTCGGAGTAGCAGGGGTGGTAAGAGAGCTTGTGAGTGGGCGTGATGGTGTCCCAGTCGAAGTCGTGCAGCTTGTGTTTGCTGACGGCGCTGGCGGCGCCGAGGAGCCCTGCTATGGCGAGGTGGTTGAGCCAACCCATGTTGAGGGTTGTAAGTTTGATGCCTGGAATGAGCGCGTATCGTGAATGGTTTTGGATGAAATTTCGGTGTTAGTTGGTGAGGGAGAGATGAGATGTTGAAGAGGAAGAGGAAGTGCTAATTGATGCGGGCGCTTCGCTTGGCTTCGGGTGGCTGCTGCGGTTGTGTGAGAGTGATCGATCGATTTCCCCAACCACGTTGCTCATGCAAGTCTGGGTTTTATCTTATCGCCCTGCCGTTACACTGTCAGTCAGCCGAATTGAGTTTGAGATGGTCGGTGGTTTTGAGATGAAGAAGGGGGAACATGTGGTTTTCAAGTAGGTGTTCGATGTAAGCAAGGAACAAAATGATCCCGACAAATCATTCTGGCACGTAAGGATCTTACGCCGCATGGTCGCGTCCACATCGGCCAAGCGAAATCAGGAAGGTGCTTAAGCATGTAAGAATTGGCGACTCTCGTCATTGCCTATGAATCTAAGGCTGGCACCGTCATCATGACTGCTGCTTGGCGTCGCCAACACGAATGATCAATGACCCGACGCCTGTTCCGCTCGCCCACTGGCGATGCGCGTCCTGCACATCCTCCAGATCCCACACCTTCTTAATGGGCACTCTGATCTTGCCCTCGCCCAGCAAGCCAAACATGGCCTTCAGGTTCGGCTCAAACGTCGCATCATCGCGGGTGATGTAGTAAAACCACGTGCGCTTGGGACAGAAGGGCACCATGCCGCGTGCCAGCAGCTTCATCGTGGGCACCACCGTCGACCGCGGCGCCTTACCGTCCCCGCCGAGCGAGTTCAAGTTACCCCCGAACCCGATCAGCATGCCGCTCTTGGACAAAATCGTCCAGCTCTCGTCCCAGCTCTCGAAACCAAGCGGGTCAAACACGGCATCCGCGCCGCCCATCTCCTTCATCGCCGCCATCCAGTTCTTGTCCGTGTACACGAACGGGTGGCCGCCCTCGGCGCGGACGGCGGCGTGGTTGCGCTCCGACGCCGTGCCGTACACCTCGGCGCCCTGCAGCTGGCACAGCTTCATCAGCGCGAACCCGACGGCCCCGCTGACGCCGTGGACAAAGACGCGCTGGCCCTTGGCGACCTTGGCGTGCTCGTGCACCATGGCGTACGCGGTGCCCCAGTCGAGCACGAGCGCGGTCGCCTGCTGCAGGTCGAGCCCGTTGGGCACGCGGACGAGGTACTTTTCGGGGATGTTGACGAGCTCCGCCTCGGCGTCGTACACGGTCATGGCGGCGACGGTGTCGCCCGGGTAGAACTTGGAGGCGCCGGGCCCGTTGGTCTTGACGGTGCCGACGAGGCAGTAGCCCGGGGTCAGCGGGGCCGATTTCTGAAGCGGGTAGACGCCCTTGCGCATGTTGATGTCGGCGCCGGAGAAGCCGGAGTAGATGGTGGCGACCTGGACGTGGTCGGCGGCGGGGGCGTCGATGGTGTCTTGGATGACCTTGACCTTGGACTCGTCGCCGAACTCGGTGATGACGGCCTTGCGGATGGTGGTGGATGCCATTGTAAGTGTGTTGGTTGGTGGTGTGCTAGGTTGGTTTTTAGATGATGATTGATTGAGTGTGTTGAGATGATGTTGCTTCAAGTCTGATGCTTTTGCTTGCTTGTGATGCTGATTCTCATGAATTGCTATCTCGAAGACATGACTGCGAAGTCGTTCCCTTTATACTTTCATCCTCGACACGCCGTTCACATACAGCTAGGCAGATGTCGGATGGTGATTCCATCGTCCGCTCCCAACACGCCGTTCGACACTACCAACCAACATCTCAAACAACGCCTCGCAAGGCGTCTTTAGCCCGACCCAGCGCCATCTCGGCGCAGGAGCGCAGGGATTGACGCCACGATGAGCTTGATTGCGCCGCACGCCGGAGCGACGTTTTGGTGGTGATCCGCGCGTTGGAACTGTGTTGGCTGGCTATGTTCCCAGGTTGGCCATGTCCGCTGTGCCGTGTGGCTGCAGACAACAAATGGGGCCTGGCAGGCACTGCAAATGAAGAGTTGCGCCGACTGGGAGGATTCGCGCCTTTGGGGGCGCGCTTCGCTCTCTAGCCGGGAGGACTTTGGGCCGCCTCGCTTCGCGCTTGGGGTCCCCCAAGCAATTTCGACAGCGCCTCCCTCTCATTGTCCGGATGCAGTAAAGTCCCTTTTTCATCAAGCCACGCACGCAGGACCGGTGCAATGTTGGACCACCTGTGACGAGTACAGGGCTGAACACTAGCGACGAACGGGCCGCTGGCGTTCGCTGCTGCTGGATGGCTGGCGTCTGGGAATAAGCTTCGTGGTGGTGTCGTCAAACGGCGTCAGTGTCTGACCGCTGAAGCCAGTGGACGGCTATAAGATGTCGGTGAACTGTAACGGGTAAACGCTTGAACATGAGCCAAAAGTTCCAATCAGTCAGCAGTGAAATTTGGTACATCAGATTTGGGCTTCATTGTCAATTCTACGCCGACAACTAGGCATATTGGACGTCTTCCAAGGCCAGCATTTGTCATTCAAGGGTTGAGTAACCTGTTAAGGGAGGTCTAGGAAGGCTAGGCACCTGTACACCCGGCTTGTTGGTACCTAACTTCGAGCAGTATGCACACCTCACCGAGCATGATCACCTTAGGAACATCACATTATGTCCTCGATAATACTTAGTTCCACCCAATGCTCTTAATTCTTCCATCCAGATTTGAAGTTTTGCCCTCCTAACTCATGTGAAGTGAATAACGCAATCGTTCAATGTTTTGTGTCGTCTTGCCCCTATCCCATGTCTTGCAGCTCTTTCATCGTACCTAGGGATCATCTAACCACATTTCCCTCAGAAGCAACGATATGGGACAAGTGGATATGGTAGTGAATCAAAAATGGAGCAAAATCTCAGTTAGTAGCTAATCCGGAGTTATTGATTCCAGTAATATCACCGGCAGTCGACAGCATGAAAGCTCAAGGCCGGGACGTCGTACACAAGATCATAGCCGTCCATGACTGATGTTGAACTTCGACCTCTTAGTACCAAAGGACACGGTACTAAGCGTCTCTCGGTAGTCACGAGATTAGAGGAGACAATTAGGTTTATTTCTCATATGTAGATTTTCGCAAACTCTACCGTAACTTGATATTCCACCACCTTCCAGTATTGCTGTTTGCCGCAGGCCGCCAGCTCTACTTGGCGAATATTCCACTACTCTGATATCCAAGCTGTTCCAACGACACCACGCACCTCTGCATCGAAACAAGGAGGACTCACGGAAAGTAGCCCTCATCATCAAAATTCTTCGGGCGCGATGGCTCCGGCACCGGGGTCTGACGACGTGTTTTGTCTTCCTCCGAGGAGTATAGATACCACGGGTTCCTTGGGCCACTCGCTTGCTTTGCGGCCTCCCGTCTCACATTGTCTGTTGCGCTGATGAAACACATCTACTCGTCCATCTGTTCGTTCATGACGAGACTGAGCGGATCACCGGCGAGCCAACACCACTCATCCCAGTCATGGTCGTGCTCGTCTGGCCGGTTGAAAAGCTCCTTTGGCATGCGAGGTGTGTATTCGCCCTTCCATATCTCCTTGTCAGGTCGTAGGTAACTTCTCGACCAGCGAGTCGGATGCGGCCAAGGCGTATGTTCCCAGTCGTGGCTCCCGGTATAGGGGAACAACTTGACTCCGTGCTCATCGGCGCGGCGAAGGACGTCTTCGCGGTAGTTGGGGTTCATTACCTGGACAGCCATCTCCAGCTGCTGCTGCGTCGGTTCCGTGTCGGCTGTGAGCTCGTTGTACAATGGCTGGTAGCTGGAGGCGATGCAAGCCAGCGTCACCTGGTGCCTGAGGTCAGGTCGTCGCCACACAAGCTCCCGAAGTGTGGTCTCGTGCGGATGATGCGGCCACCAGAACAACAACGGAAGCTTTTCACCATCTGTTTCGCTCTCGATACGCGAGAGATCCCCATTCATGATGGAGCGCGCGTGAATAGCCTGCCAAACCTCGTCGCTATAGCTGGTCTCAGGGCGGACAATATCATCGACACAAGTGGCGAGCCATCGTGCGAAGGGACTATGGTGGTACACCCCGCGAAGGACGGCTGTGAGTTCGTTAGGGACCAACACAGGCCGCCTCAGTCGCGAATAGCGTTCGACGTTGCCGTCCCACGCGGCTAGAAGGATGAGGATGTCCTTGTTGAGGGCTGGAAGGTCGCGAGGCAGCGGCATGTAGGTGAGCTCGGTGAAGCGGGCCTCGAGTGTTGAGCACTCGGGTGTGGGCCACGATGATGGTCTAGCATTCTTGTCTTCTTGTATGTCGAAATAGTGATCGTCAGTGCGGGTGACCTTGAACTTCTTCTTGGGTATTGGGCGTTCGAGCGAGGACCGGACAGCAGTATCGCCGTTAAGGCAGGCATCAGCCCTGGGATTCTCCAATTCGACGGTCCGCGTGTAGTCATTCATGACGGCGTATCTCACGGCTTGGTTGACGATAGCGTCGAATATGTCCATATGGCCATTGTCTCGGGCTTCCTCGGCGATGGACACATCTGGCAGGAGATCAAGTTCGTCGTAAAGCGCCTTGTATCCCGCAGCAGCACAAGCACGCCCGACATTGTAACGCATATCTGGGTAGCGTTGAGCCAGGGATCTGTACGTGTCTTCCGTGGCGAGGTCAGGATATGCAGTACGGCTTCTCTGTCGCAGAAGACATCTGCGGGACCTCATTGCTCATAATGAGACGCGCATTGCGGGCTCTAGCGAATTCTCTTCCCTTTTCCAAACAGAGCTGCTCCACTTTGTCGTATCTTGCGAATCTCTCATGGTGTCGGATCCCACGAATAATGTAGCAATCTTCCACATCTAAGAAGTCTGCTGGGAGTTCTTTCCCATTGAAAGCGGCCAAGTCCATCGCCTTGTAGTCTTTGGCGGGCGTTTCATCGCCTGTGTGGCTGGCTGTTTTCGTTGGCGAGGTAGACATGTGTCTGAGGAAAGGCCACAAATGTCGTAAAGTAAAGGGCAGAAGAGCACAGCCTGTCCGGTGTTTGCTATATGGGGACTGCCCGCAAAATGTGATCGTACGCTGCGTCGAGGATGTGCGGCGCGCGAGTCTCGAAACGGCGAAGCGACGACAAATAGAGAACGACATCTTATGCCCGAATGTACGTTTTCATGCCAATATACACAGCTCAAAAGTGATCAAAAGTAAGGAAAGGATAGCGTATTGTTTAGTCGAAAAAATGAGGTTGGTGATCAGTAGCGGCAGGACACGTTGGGAGGTTCAATCCTTTTGAACTAAAAGCGAGAGCGCCATTGCCTGCTAAAAGTCCATACCCCTGCTTGTTTACAGGGGTAATGCATGACCTGTTGGGCCGAACTATCCTAGTCATCTAGCAACAAGCTCGGAAGTCGATTGTCGAGGTACTGCACAGTCACTGAAAGGTACCAGGAAATGCAACCGCCTAATTTTCGTGTGTCTGCGCTGCCTTATTTCCTGTGCACTTGCTTACTACCATCAAAAGCGATAGTAGCGACAGCGACGATGAGGACGAGGACAAGGACGACTATAACGATAACGACGACAACAATAGAAGCGACGACGACGACGACGACGACGACGGTAGTGGAGTGATTAGAGTGTGGCTACAGTAAAAGCAGTCGCTCTAGCATAGGAAAAATAGGCGTTCTCCGGGTGAAGGGGGATTGTCAATAGTGGAATTGATTGCCCCGGCAGATTAGCTTGTGGCCTCATCGCATCACAATCTTCAATGCCACGGAATAAAGCACAACTCTTCTGGGCTGAAATTTTGCTTTGGCTGACCTAGGTATCTAATGTCTAGGCACAAACATTTACAATCTTTTGGATCTTTGCGTCCTGGGCAACGAAACCTTCGCCAAATAACTTGATCTTGTCCGCAGAAAGTGCCCTTCTCGCCGCCGCCGCTTCTGCGATGGCCTGTGAAGACGTTCGCTCCGACGCGCCGCCATAGGGTCCAATGAGAAGCGACAGAACGGCAAAATGCGCCGATGCAGGATCGCTTACAATGCTTTCAATGGTGAGGGCGGTGTTCCCGATTTCCCCAATAACAGCCGCAATACGAGCCACCATGGCGGCGCCGCCGAACGCAGCACCCACAACCTCGCCAGCGAATGGCACAACGAACAGGACAATGGAAAGGATCTCGAGCACAAGTCTTTTCTTCTCCAGGTCGCGCTGCGCGGCGCCAATACTTTTGATTTCCTTCATGTTCTCAATGACGCCCTCGAGCATCAGAACGGGCATGGCAATGGCCGTCACCACGTCACCTGTATCATCGGCGTAGCCAAGGCCTGCCATGATGTACATATTCAAGACGCGCATAGATAAGTCGCTGATCGATGGCAACGCTGCCTCAATGACGTCCTTGGGGTTTGACACCTTGACGTTGTTGCTGCTGACAGGGAGACCCTTTTTGTAAAGTTGGGCTTCACGGCAGTGGACCTTCGTCCCCGGGGGGCGCCAGTCAGGTGCATCGACGCACTCACCGGTTTGATGCCAATCGCCGAAGGAAATCCAGTCCTTCTCAATACCGAGGTCTTGTTGAACAGCAGCGTAGAACCCATCCGGATCAGAAAGGGTGTAAGTCACAGACCATGACTCACTCTGCTGCCAGAACTTGTCCGCCGGAGGGCAGGGCCCTTCCCTTGTCCTGGACCGAACCGTCCAAGAGCATGTGAAGAACTCGTTTCCGCGCCCGGTATCGAAGTCCATGTAAGACTCCAATTGAGGGCTGATCCTCTGCTTGACATAGTCGGCATAGTATCCAAAGACAGCATCGTAGCCGCTGAGAGCGTCCTTGTAGTCCGCCTGAAAGCTATCAAGAGAGTCGGAGAGTATGCGAAGGGCCCAAATGTTTCGGCAGACAGGGTTGTAGGTATCGTCATTCATGACCTTGACCAAATCATTGAGAGTTTTGGGCCTAACACTCGGGTCACACGTAGTGTCGGCGGAAAGGATGCTGGGATAGACGTCGTCCTCTTCGATGTTGTACTCTGGGACAAAGTAGCCAGCCTGCCAGAGATCTGTTGCCTGGCCCAAGTCTGGATCAGCGCAGATCGACGGGCAGTGCCCACGCGCGCAATTGAACGCGCATAAGCCGTGGTCATCGGCGGTGCCGTCTAGAGTCCTGGCGTTGCTTTTGCTCGTAGGCTCCATGAGATTGAGCCCGCCCTGTGCAGAACAGTAGCACACAGCAATTGGGCAGAAGCCGTGAGAGCAGGCAAAAGAACATAGATCATCAAAATGAGTTGACGAGCTCATGCCCTGGCCACGCGTGCATGTGCCGGGCAGGAATGGCGATACTGTGGCGATGACGGTAGGATGCTCAACTGTGTCACAGTAAGAGCCGGGGCAGAACCCCCAGTTGCAAGAGTTCTGACAGAGCCCTTGGTAGTCGCTTATTATGCCAGCTGCTGGATACGCCGTGATGCCCTTCCACTTGGGCTTTTCAACCTGCGCTCCTAACTTTGTGCAATGGCATGCACCCTCCGGACAATAGCCGTAGCCACATGTGAATTCGCAGAGAGTCGCAAAACCGGGAAGAGGTCCTGTACCCTCAACACAGACCTGGTCTGTACGGGAGTGTGGCTTGGCTGAGACGGAGCCTGCTGCAGTGGCACTGCCGACCCAGGCGTTCCAGTTGTTGTAGCCATTGGTCTTGCTGCAGTCTGTGGTGATAGCGATCCCGGCTACTTCAGCAATAACTGTGCCACCGCGAACAACACGAATATGGACTTCGCCTGTCTGGTCGTAGTACCAGGCATTCCCATGGTAGAGACCGACGCCTCCTTCGGGTGTGGCCGCCTAGGAAGCCTTCTGCTGAACCCCTCCGACAGTGACCTCGATAGTGGCAGACGATGCGAGCAGCGCTGTGAAGTAGATGGCGTCTTTAGCTACGTTCCACGGATGAAACTCGAGCTGCAATTGCGACGCCGTATTGCCAGACGTCCCGCCGTCTTTGCAACTTGTTGCGGGGTTGGGTCTGTACCAGGCTACCAGACGCTCTGAATCGACTGTCGTCGTGTTGTACTTGTACATGTCGATGGTGAATGGAAGTGTATCCCGCCAGCCATCATGTGGCAGAACGAAATTGAAGGGAGCTTTTCCAATGGTAAAGGCCTCGAGAGACTTATCTCGCACAAGTCCAATATGGTGTGATTCGCCGTAGTCGTTCCACGAGATAATCTGGACAAATTCGGGACGCCACCAGAGAATCTGTTGCCACCTGTCGAACCAGAGGTCATCCCCTCGCCACATCCAGTTCTTATCATAGCCAGGAAGATTCGTGTAAAACCAGGGAGACGCCGCCATCATGTAGGGCTTTCCACTGAGGTACTGCTTATAGGACGCGTCTACGTATGTGTCCATACTTTGGTCACCCCAAGGCCAGGCTGCCCAGCTGAAGTGGCCATCAGCAACGCCATTCGCTTTAGCCATTGCTGGCTTCGCGCCAAGGGACGACCAATCGGGGATAAAAAAGCAACCAGTGGCTGCCTTGATCTCGACCCAGTCTTCGGCATTGTCAGGGCCCTCGAACGTCGATACGAATGGTTTACCCTAGTAGTGGAAGTAGGTACCAGAGCCACCATACTGACTAATCAGGCCCTGGACAACGCTTTTGGGCCACGGTCCGTTCCCAGCGTAGTCGAATGAGAAGAAGAGCTGAAACCCCAGTGAAGAGGCGTGTTGAAACGCATTGGCAACAGACTTCTCATTCGTTGGGTCTCCATAGGCCATGTTGAGTGCGAAGGCATCAATATGAGCCGCTTTGGCCTTGGCAATGTCATCGAGCCAGTCATCGGCTGTGTAGTTGGCAGAGTTGGTGATCATGAAGTGGGCGAAGACAGCTTGGGCTTGAGCCAGTCGCGCCCAAGCAAAGGTGCCAGCCACAAGAAATAGAAATCTCATTGCAAAAGCCAGGGGGTGGATGTGAGCAAAACGAAGATACAATGATGGTAGATTTGAGCGTGTCAGAAGAAAATGACGGCAGCAACGTGGCTACTTGTGCGATGGAAATACATGCTTCAGAATATGCTCCAGCATTGGCTTTTCACGAGCATTTCGAACCTAAAAAATGAGGTTCAACTACAATTAGATCTATGTCCGTTCTAAGTCGGCCTGGCCTGCTGTTGGCATGAGGCCGTGTAAGCGGATCTCAATGGCGGAGTCTCTTCCATTGGTCCGCATAAGCGGCACCAACAAAATTGGCGGGGCTAAGATACCATCCATGGATGCTCAAAGTCTCCGGGGCGACGTCGCCTTCTGTTCATCTTCCAACAGGTTGGTGCAATTAAACACGCGGGTGGATTGGACCGTCTTCCAACAACCAACAGTCACTTGCCACTACGCGGTTTTGCCCGCAACCGACACATCCTTGTCTGCTCAGGCCATCCGTCAACTCGGACTCCACTTTCTACCCGCCTCAGCCGCCTGGGCAATCTTTAAATCTCTTTGGCTCAGGGGTTCACGAAGCTTAGCTATGAGATGGACCCTTGTCAGGGCACAGTCAAGCTTTAGACCCCGGTCGAAGAAGTCTTCCGACATCTCATGAGTCAAATGAGCGAATGACCTGCATCTTCCCACAACTGGCCTGCCTAATGCGTACAATCCGCCCGCTTGAAATGCAGTCTGCAATCTATGTTGGTTCTTGTCTTAAGCCTGGAAGCTCCGCAATTGTGACAGGCTGTTGCCCCCGCTGCAGGCTGCAGCAACTCAACATGCAGGCCGAAGTCCATGGATTGCAAGAGAAGTGCCTGATTGATGGTTTTACTCAGGCAGAAGCCTCACCTGCGGCGTGAACAAGACCTCTAACCTAAGTTGTACGTGAACCGGCCCTGGATCAATGGATCATGTTTCTTGGCTGTCACGTTCAGCAAACACCAGCCGGCTCGCGGCTCAATTCCAAGCAAAGTCACCCCAGAATAGCTCAGTCCTGGTAGTGGTTACTACATCAATGGAGTTCGGCTGGCGGCAAGAGCTCCTACCTCTCGCATGATGCGGTTTCCAATGTGCATCTGATCACAGGATGGACGGAGATGATGTCTGTTTCTCCGTTTAGAGTATGTCGGGTAATAGATGCCTGTTCTGCAACACCACTTTCGCTATCACTAACGGCCAAATCAGAGATTTACCTTTTTGAAAATGGCACAGCTGTTTGTCCTGTCCATGACTACTACAATTTCAGGGGGGTTGGGTGGGTGTCTGATTGAAGCCACTGCCCCTCTACTGTTCCTCCTGCTTGGATGTGAAGTTCTGCTGTGTTCATGAAATTACTGCCGAACTTGACTTTTCCATGACAAATCTTTTCTCGGATGTGCCGTCAGGAAAATATCTTCTTTTAAGATGCAATTTCTGCTCCAAATTCTCTACCCATACACCTGCGAACACATCCTCTATTCTTTTGAGAATCCCCGTCGCCTCTTGCTCTCTGTACTCCTCACGTCACCAGGTCTTAGCACGAAGACATCATGAAGTTCCTCGGTCTCTTACTACTTCTTTTTGGCCAGCTAGCCGTCGCTGCCGGTCCGTCTCACGCCTTTGAAACGGTCTTGTATTACTACATTGCCTACCGGCTGGAATGGAAGATGTACGGGCAGTCTCAGAGGCTGCTGTACCCTGTGAGATCTCCCATTCCGACCAAAGAAGGCGATCTCATCACATTCCCCAAAAATGTCGGTCCAGATGGCAACATGCTGCCATTCACCGACTTCGTCTGCCGGTATATGAACAACCCAAAAGCCAAGTGCAACGTCCAACTGGACCTCGACAATCCTGAGCGAACGGGAGAGTTGTTACTAGAGGAGGGAAACAACGGCGCTGCGAAGATCCCAGATATGAGGGGGGTTCCCCAAGGCGACATGTACGAGATCAACGAGAAGAATGATGCGGAAATCTCACCCAAATTGAAGTACTACAACAGCTTCACCGAAGACCTCGCCCAAACATTCAATGCCGCCGCCAAGAAATACGGTACATCCACTTCCAGCGAGGTCTACAAGGAACTTGCCGCTGTTGAGCCTCTTTTGAATCGTATTCTCAAGGTACGTTCAGAGGATATACAGACAAAGCAAAATATTCGAAAGACTTTTGTGGAAGCCTTTTTGAAAGACAGTACTTTCAAAAGCTACAAAGGCTCAGTGGACCCTGCGGATATGCTGAAGAACGCAAAGCTCTGGCAAGTAGTCAAGAAGGTATCGCCGTAGACGAGAGGTACACACGAAGTACTCGACTGTCGCTCCGCAATTTATTGCGTAGCTTGCCAGGAGGCCTGGCTGGTCCCTCGCGAGAGATCCGCTGAAAGTCATGTGGTGCACTAACGGATCGCGGACCGCAGAAGAACTTTTGTCTCGGCTGAAAAGGGACACATCACCGAGATTCTTGGCAAGGGATATCGGCAGCGATTCTGCCGACATATTCGAGGCATGATTCCAACCTCAGACAACAGTTCTGGCTGTAGGCATTCGTGATAATGCTTGCGGTATTTGGCTCCTCCTTAATTGGTGTTTTCTTCCTGTTCCTTTCCCCTAACTCTTGCTCCTGATCATCCTGAATGAAGAATTTTCAACACGGTCTTTCTTTCCTCGACATACGATTCAGTAATACCTGTGTCAGGTTGGTATCATGATGATTTTTTACTCTCTTTTGGCTTTTCTGACGGCAGCCCTTGCGGCCGCCGACGATTCTATGACGTACATCTTTTTCGAAAACCAGGAGTTTCTTGCTAATGGCTCCAATGTTGCTCGCATTTCCTGGAGCGACATTGAAGGGGCCTTCCAGCACCCTGACCAGGCTGACCTCGCGACATTTGGCGGCCTCGACTGGACGAAACCATATCCGGGCTCTTCAGTTGACGGGTTCGAGGCTCATCTTCGTATTGCCAACGATGTCCCATGGCCGGACTCCGTCGGCAAGAATCTGACAACTAAGGTCACTGCCCTCACATTTGGTCTTCCTGCCGTCTTGATGGACCCAGGCAAGACTTTGCCTCTGCCAATGGACCCTACGTGGTTTATTTGCCGTCACTATTTGTTAGCGCTCGACCGAATCCTACGGAACAAATCGATCATGCTTGTGGCTTCCTGTCTGCGGAGTGTCGCGCCGATTTGGAGACAAGTCTTACGGGAAACTGGTTCCAGGAGGACCCAGACGTTCCTTGCTCGGCACTGATTCTCGATCTTGTGCCTGTGAGCTGCCAGGGCACACTTGGTCTTGTCCGAGGTGATGTTGTCGGTGAGCATACCGTCGATTGTGCCCTTCTACAATCAGTTTACTAACCTCTCAATTCCACAGCTTTGAACTCGGAATCCCTGCAAGATGCTTCCATCGCTACAGCCTATGTCACAGATCAGATCACAGACTGGTCGTGGATGATTGGCACCGGTGCCGTGGATGAAGGCAACACGACCGCCTACTATGACGCGTCGAATCGGACCTTCATCATTGGTACTGTATTCGGATACAGCTCTAGCGTTGATGAGGCTAAGAGGCAGACTCCAAAGCTGTCCCTTGCTTGCCTCCGTCCTGAATGGGTTCCTCCTTCAACCCCCAACGTCACATCTGCTGTCCCTCCCTATACCTACCCGCCTCAGACAACAACATCCGCCACAACGACTACTGCCCAATCATCCCAGCCGGCGACCACCGCACCATCTGGTCTTGCCTGTGTTTCGGGAACGGTATCACCTTACCGCACTAGCGGCGACTTCAAGGAGCTGTGCGAATTCAGCTGCACTTATGGCTATTGTCCTCCGACGGCGTGCCAGTGTCTTGAGTACGCTGACACAGCTAAGGCTAGCCCTCCTGTCGGAGACTCTGACGGTTGTCCCCTTGAAGGCGTCACTGACGATGACTATGTACATTTGTGCAGTTTTGCGTGCAGCCACGGGACCTGTCCAGAGGCAACATGCAAGCTCTGCTGATCTGTGTTGACTCGACGCTTTGTTAATGAACAGACTTGCAGATAACTTCACTTCGTCCTGTGTGTAAGTAATAATAGTAAAGACAGAACAACAATTCAAACACATGTATGCACCATTGAAGAGGCGAAACATGCGCATACTGTGAGATCAGATTTTATTCGAAATAGAATGAGCGGGCTTTCTAGTCAGACCTAAGCAAAGTGATTATAATTCGATCATATGAGTCGTTTTTGTAGTAGTTTGACATAGAAGCTCCACAGTTGCGGGATTTCAACAGTCTATCTAGAGTTTGGATCAGCTGAAATGAAACTTGCGGTGGTGATATGGATATTATAAGCCCTGATCTTTGTGCCTTTGGCTCCGCAATAGTATGGAGGAAGGCGACTCCAAGCCGGTTGTCTTGGGCATATCACTTGGGCAAGTATCAGATGACGGAGCATTAGTCACATGTGGTGAGACAATATTGTGTCCAATGGACAATCTCATCACTAGGAACATCTATCATCAAAGTTTAGGTAGTAGTATGGTCATGATTCTAGACTGGAAACAGTTAGTTCCTAAATCCCATTATCTTCGTGATGCTTGGTAAATGCACACTATTAGTAGTTGGTGAAGGACCGTAAGACAAGTTTACGACACACACATGTGGGACGATCATTTGCATACTCCCTCTTCGTAACTATAAAAAGATCATGAACATCCATGGATATGGCCAACGGCAGAGAAGATCACATACAGGAGGGAGGATACTCAACATGAAGCAATCCTAGAATCAGAAAAGCATCAAGATACAGTATTTCTTGAATTTCATGCGCCTTTGTCGTTGGGTATCCAAGGAGAGGTTCACGATAAATGCCAGTGATGTCGCGTCCATTGCAAGAATTTTGAAACCACCTTCTGCACTGGATAATAACTTAGCCCATTAATGAAATTTTGCTAATTTTCAGATCTCTCAGTCCGTTTATACCGGCGTTCGATCTACAGCCCCTTTTATTCGGACATCATGTTGAATTTGAGACGTTAGATATTCTTTCCTAGAAGGTGAGCTTCGATATCCACTCTTTTAGATCTTATCCACTTCATACCAATATCATCTATTCGCTACCTTAGACAAGATGTAGACATTCATGACACCGACCGCGAACTCGCCATCCATGGATTCTTCTTCATCACCCAGTCCATCTTCTCTCTCTCGCACTGCCCCTTAACCTGACTTTCAAAAACCTAACTATGAAGTCGGAATATTTCCAAGCTCCATCTTTGAATTGCACGACATGCCTCTGAATTGTCCTTACTCTCGCAAGTTGTGACCAAATTTTAAGAACTTCAAAATGCTTGTCGGCACTCGCAGATCGTCCTTGTTGATCATTTTGATGTCGAATTCGAACCTAGCAACTGAGTGCCTGCGTGCTGCCCGCTCCCACGCGATCGACACCCTGGAATCTCGCGGCCTGACTGTCCAAGTGGCACCCACTGTGAGTAAGCCGATGCCCCCAATAATCTCATACCTGAAGAAAAAGCCCTCATGTATACCAGGGGCCCATACTTCCATAGCCTGTAAGCATGGCATATAAAAGGCTGCTTTAGCAGCGGTCAACAAGACTTGCTCAACCTTTGCTGGAATCGCAGCTAGACCCTGAGTTTGACAGTTTAGAACTAGATATTTGAGTGTTGATCTGGATGATATCCCGAGACTCCATATTTTGCTAGCGGCATCATGGAAGCATCGCAGAAAACTTGTTGCGTCTATTGCATGGGAAATTGCCAGCGCTTCCATCTTGAAGCTCGTAATTGTCGCTTCAGAAGTAAGTTCGTTATTCGATGTCTTAGAATAAAGTGTGTTTTCATGTAGTCTCCGAGACTGTGCTTCCCACAATGTGAGCGTGCGTAGGCTGGGGCAGCGTCTTGCGTAGCGGAATAAAGAGGCGTTCGCATGCTCTCGTTGGCGCTGATCTTCCTCGTCCAAACCCCGCCAAGGCTGATAATTAACATCTCGCAGGCTCGGGAGTTTGCTGAATATACTCTTCAAGGAGTAAGATGACAGACTTCGTAAACATTTCTGACTGATACTCAGTGCCCTGATCACAGTAACCTCTGGAAGGTCAGATCTACCTAATCGGAGTTCAAGAAGCTGGCCTAAAAGTCGCTTCTTGGCATTCAATCTCGAGTGTCCAGGCGACTGGGCGATGACCTGGCGCTTATGATCCCGAAAAGACGTCTGATGATGCATGGGATCGCTCGGAGAGCTAGCGCTGAGCTCTAGCATGACATCGGCTTCTGGACCCTTTGCCTGCCCTGGCCAAGTAGAGAGCACATTAAAAAGGTTTAGAAGGCTGTTGGAGAAAATTTTATCGTTATCTGCCTTGGTCTCCGCGCTTTCTTCGTGGCCGCATTGTTGGCATGTGTACTCTTGCAAGCTCACATGAAGTGAAATCTTTCTGACCCAAACTTTCTTCGAGTAAGTGGTAAAGGCTTTGAAGTACTTTATATCAAACGGCATGTCTGATCTGAGCTTTATTGTTCTCCAGAGCCGAGCGGTGAAAAACCCATACCAATCCATCGATACTGTAGACCAGCGTGTAAAAGGATTCTTCCCAGCAGTTGGACCTAGCTGCCATAGTTCTTCTAGGACCATGAGCTTCAGCTCTAATGGAAGACGAATCCACGGAAATGGCGCTGTGCTTTGAGATGCCATGGCTTAGGCACTTGAAACTGCTTAAAAGTTTCAGAGTCGAAGGGTCAGATGCTTTGAAAGATGAGTTAGGTGTGGTGGCGAAGAGAATGAGGTGCAGAATGAAATATTGACTGTAGATTTCACTTGTGCGTAAGCAGCTGCTGACTTATTTATTCTATCTCTTTCCCTTCATCAAGGTAGCATGAGTCATTGCTAAAAACGAATCATGGTTTTGATTTAGGTCCACCTTTTAGACACGGCAACCTCTTTGAACGTTTCATTGTGGAACTCCGTAATGAAACTCCCGCCCTCCCGGAAAATCGAGGGGAGAACTCTGGACAACGACGACGACGAGAGATACCGAGCCTGCACTGTCATACGGAGTGTCAATGCAGGCATTGTCACGCGACAAAGTGCTGCCCAGATAGGATCTAGAGATGGTATCAAATGTGATATCAAAATTTTCCCCCATGTGATGGGGTTAGCAGGCATGTTAACGACCTTCCAAATTTGGGGAAGCAGTGTATGGGGTGGCAGGAACTTCGGTAAAAGGTATGCCACCAACGTTTTGTTGTGCCGCTCGGCCGTTCGCCCCTTTTGGTTCGGTAAGCTGACGGGGAAGGAGTGCAAGAATTGGATTCAACCTGCAAGAAGCATGGCCAATCGAACTGAGCGACGATACGCATTACCAGACTAGGTAAGTAAGAACTAGTAGCTCCGTTGCTGAACCCTCTCTGCATGTCTGTAGTGTGGAATTCAACTAACTATCCGGGGTTTTCCTTAACGAACCCCTGTCGCAGCTGCCAAGATCTGCACCAGACAAGCTTCATAATAAGCATTTTTCTCGGCTCGGCAAGATCCACGGGTGCCTGCTGCTCACCCCTGGTAAGGTGGACCAAGGTTAGCCTAGGTTGACAGCTCGGCAGGTTAATAGACCGACATTCCCACCCTCCCTCCGTTGGAATGCTTCCAGCTGATGTCGGACAAAAGCGAGAGTGATAAGAAAAGCCGCTAACAAATAGAGAAAATGATGTCCATGAGCTATTCAATGTAGGTTATCTATAATTGCTGAACTTTTCTCTCAATCACAGAAGTTGCAAAGGCTGATTAGCAATCGTGATCAAGGAACTTTGTTGGAGAACACTGATCCAGCTTGGCCAACAGAAGTCATACATGAACGCAGATGATGGCCAGTCTCTAATTTGGCTGCCTAAGACTCCCTGGTCATGTTTTCAGATGTCACGGCCTAGCCGCTCCGAGGATTGCAAGGGCTAGCCCTGCGGGGCGAGGTATTTAAGACCTCCTGCGGAAAGAGGAAAGCCGTATTTCAACTTCATCAGAGGACAGTAGCTTTTGCCGTCCATATCACAAGTCATTCAGAGCCCGTGCCGTAGGAAAGCATCGCACCTCAACCTCCATTTGGCACTTAGACCCCAATCTCACTCTCAGGACTCAATACAGGTTTGGCTTGACGGTAAAAGTCACGGTGGCGAGGGTGTTGCTGAGCCTCGAAAAAGATCTTCCGTGTCTTGGCAATGTAATCGCATCCATCACATCCAACATTGGTATCTCGTGTGCGGAACAATAGGCAAAGACATTTTGGTCAAAGGATTTTCTCACGCGGCTAAGCCAGTATGGGCTTTGCCCGAAATCGTGTCGTGATAAAGTTTGAGCGAAGTACTTATAAACCGAGGAACAGCTTTCTGCGACATGAAGAATCGAATGTGGTGGCTGTCTTCGTAGCTCTTTGTCGCAATTCACGGGTAATCAGCAATCATGAGGTTTCCAATCCTCACATCTTTGGCAGTTCTCGCAAGCGCTTGCCATGTGCAAGCCAAAGCGGTGTTTGCGCATTTCATGGCACGATACGCCCGGCAAGCAGTCACTTCTTTAGAGCACTACTGATCGCAAACAGGTTGGAAACACTGGGAGATATTCTCTTGCCACCTGGCGTGACGACATCCGTCTCGCTCAAGAGGCCCACATTGACGGATTCGCCCTCAACATTGCCTACGGCGAGCGTATGAACGCTGCGTCGCTAGAGAACGTCTTTGAGGTGGCCAGCGACATGGGCTTCAAGCTCATCTTTTCCTTCGACTACGCCGGCGGGGGCCCATGGCCTAAAGATGACGTTCTCAACCTCTTGAAGAAGTACGCCACCAGGCCTGAATACTTCAGGCATAGCGATGGGACACCGCTCGTGTCCACTTTTGAGGGCCCCGAACAGGCTTCAGATTGGGTCGAAATCAAACGCTCCTTTCCCTGCTTCTTCATGCCCGATTGGTCCTCAAAGGGAGCCAAGAGGGCAGCGGAACTGGCGGGTGGAGTCGCCGATGGTCTCTTCAACTGGGCTGCCTGGCCCTGGGGAAATACCAACATGGATACATATGTGGATGCTTCATATTACCAGTATTTGAGGGTGGATGAGGACACCAGTAAGCCCTACATGATGCCCGCGTCGCCCTGGTTCTATACAAATCTCCCCGGCTACAATAAAAATTGGCTGTGGCGCGGGGACGACCTGTGGCACGACCGCTGGATCCAGATTATCTACAACCAGCCAGAGTATGTTTCTCTCTCGTTAATTTCTCGCATGTTTGGTTTTACGAACGGCAGCTGACATAATTGGCCTCTAAGCTACGTTGAAATCATTTCCTGGAACGACTACGGAGAATCCCATCACATCGGTCCTCTTCGTCCTGACGCCATGGAAGCCTTTCACACGGGCAGAGCCCCTTTCAATTTCGCGAGAGACATGCCCCACGATGGTTGGAGGATGACGCTTCCCTTTTGGATTGATTACTACAAGAACGGCAAAGCGACTGTGACCCAGGAGGGCATCATGGGATGGTTCAGAACGACACCCGCAGCCACGTGCGGCGACGGCCAGACGTCCGGTAATACCGCCAGCCAGTTGCAGCTGGAGTTCTCGCCGGCCGAGGTCATGCAAGACAGGATCTTCTTTTCGGCTGTGCTTGGCTCGCATGCAGATGTTACTGTCAACGTCGGGGGAACCTCACAGGCCGGAACTTGGACGTCCGTCCCGGACGGGGGTATCGGCGTCTACCACGGAAGCGTACCATTTCAGGGCAGGGGTTCGGTCTCCATCTCTCTTCAGAGGGGCGGCGCGAACATCGCCACTATCAACGGGGGTTCCATCACAGACAATTGCGCAGAAAGCGGTCTCACCAACTGGAACGCGTGGGTTGGGAGTGCGATGGCTGCGGGCTCCATCTCCGCCACGCCGGCATCATCACGCGACGAGCAGAAATGCATCAAGGGCACCGGCGCGACTGGTTTCAGCAAGCTCTGCGAGTTTACCTGCAAGTACGGCTACTGCCCCGTCTCAGCATGTCAGTGTCTTGCTATCGGCGCCCCAATCTCTGAACCTCCTACCACAGGCCCGGCTGGGTTCCCGGCTGCGGGTAAAAGTAAGAGCTACACGGGTCTCTGCGGGTGGTCATGCCCTCGCGGCTTTTGCCCTTTGGAATCTTGCAGCACAAGCAAGCAACCTATCAAAAATCCCACTGTCTCCGAGTTCCTCCCTCCTGCATGTACCGGGGGAACTTCGGACAACAGCCTCAAGGGATTGTGTCAATATGCTTGTAACTTTGGGTTTTGTCCCCGGGGCGTCTGCACGTGTTCTGACAAGGGCGGGCTGAATGAACCACCACCGATCAAGGACACGACAGGCGACCCCGTGAACAATAAGGTCAAGGACTTTGGGCTGTGCCAGTTTGCTTGCTCGCGTGGGTACTGTCCCTCAGACGCATGCCGTTTGGACTATCCTATAGACGAAGGAGACAGGTGCGATGTCAGAGACAACACGTGGCGTGAAAGGACAATGCCTGCCTATCAGCATGCTGCATATCCGATGCCCGTTTCGAATATCCACTACATTACGATCGTCAACCTCACGCCGTATACCTTCCGCTATTTGAAGGATCGGTCCAACTACTACCAGGTAGCTGCTGACTTTGATGATATCCCACCGGGACAGTCTCGTCAGAACAAGGCCCGTTGGGCAACCTCAGGTACGAGCAGAGCTGACGACAACGGTGAGGCGTACTTTGAGGTTAAGGACACAAACCATGAGTTCCGCATCAGGTGCACGACACATTATCCCTCTGACAGGCCAATACGGTTCGTAGTTGACCTGGATGGCTGGGGGCTAGGCGTCAAGGAATACGAGGTTCCAGAAACTGAAGTTTCTATCACATTTGTGATTACAGGAAGCGAGAACTACGGGTACCATCATTCTCTCACACTGGATAGCTCACCAGTGGCTTGGATGGATTCCATCAAGGAACATATCAAGGGAAGGCTGGTGAAGCACGTCATCATGCCCGGGGCCCATGATGCTGGAATGAGTGTCATTGGGAAGTACAAATGGGGCGGTAAGCTTACCTTGACACTCGTTTGGAGGGGTGCTGTTCTAACATTGTTTCGTAAAGGTACCCCCATGGATACCCAGACCCAGGCCTACGGCATCGCGGGGCAACTGGCGCTTGGAGCCCGCTATTTTGATCTTCGACCAGCTATCGCGGATGACGAATTTCACATCTTCCATGTGTCCGATCCGAGAGCAACCGTAATAGTAGGAGCCTCAGGGGTTACGCTGCAAAATGTTATTGACGACATCAACGAGTGAGTTATTCCCATGAACGCCACATCACAATCATCAAGCCCCATGACTGTTAAATTGACAATTCCAAGTTTCTACACCAGCAATCCTGGTGAGGTTGTCTTCCTGTGGATGCGAGACATGGTATCCTTCCGGGGCGGCCTGTTCGGCGGTGGCCATCCCTTCAACGAGAATCAAATGGCCCAGTTCTTCGACAAGCTGCGTGGAATCAAAAACCGCTGCCGCGGCCTGACCGAAGCGACCAAGCTGCAGGAACGGGTCATGGGCGAGCTCATGGAGCAGAACGACGGCAGTGGCTGTGTGGCCATTATCCTCGATCAGTTTGGCGTCGACGCGGGGATCCCGCAAGATGACCCCGCGTCGGGCATCTTCCTCGCGGGAAAGCACATGGACCGCACCGACCGGTGGGAAGAGGATGTGGGCACTACGCCCGCCCAGCTGCTCGGCTACCAAGTCGCAGGCTTCGACGACCCAGTGCGCAGGCGCCTCGAGCCGTCGAAAGGAGGTGACTTTTTCGTGTCGCAGTGGGTTTTGAATGCAAAACACGAGGATGCGGTTTTCTACGGGCTCGAGAACCTGGCAAACTATCTCACCACGCCGATGCTGTACTACGGCGGGGTGGCGGAGATGACCCCAGACATGTTTCCGACCGTGATGTTGATGGACTACATCGGAATGCGCGTGTCGGGAGACACCACGGCGAATAATCGAGCGGCTGAGTTGCGGACGTTGGCGCTGGGTTTGAATCTGTACTTGGTCAGCGAGAATTGCTACGTCAGCAAGCGGCGGAATCCGCTGGTTAAGGGATCGGGCAAGAGGTTAGCGGCGCCGTGGAATGGGATCATCTTTGCGAACGGGACTCGCATTGATAACCCGCCTCCGAACTTTGATCCTTGGCGCGTGGATGTCTTGAGAAGTGGGACGGTGTTTGGGAACGGGACCGTTTTGACGAGGAACATCACCAACCCGTTCTAGTTCCCTCCTATGTAAGCAGAACCGGCCCACGCCGTCTCAAATCATTTGACGGGGGTGTTGATCAGACGATGATTGGCGTTGAAGTATCCAATCTCAAGAGACATCCTTCTTTGTATGGCGAGATATGCATTGGATGACTTAATTCAAGAACAGCAGTGGATCATCGCAGCATTAAATAATGGATGTCTATGGCCAGAATGTGTATTAATCTTGATAGAAGCCATAAACAATGTTCCCAATTAGTACATGTAACCAAGACAACTAAGACAGCCAGTGGATTGGTTCCCTGTTGCTGGACGCGAATGCTAGCAGAATCCAAGTCCTACGCTTGCTTAGGTCTGTTGCAAGATATCTCAATGCTTGATGTGTCGTGATTCAAAGTCTGAATAAAATGGCACGGGGCCGGTCTCGCCTTGCTATTGATCATGGATGATTGAGAGGGCTTCAGGCGGTTGAGCATCTCGCAATGCAACATTACTGCAGAGAAGACCTTGAAACGCCAGTCATACAAAAACTTAGCGAGAGAAGAGGTGAAAGAGTAAATGCCAGGGTCAGATGTGACGTGTCCCCACGAGGAAGCACAAATAGCTTCAATAAGATTGTCGCCACAATGAAAGTCTGCGCTTGCTAACCCCGATTCACAGTCCAAGAATACGAGTACATCGCTCTCCTAATGCCGTATTTCAATGTATGAAAACTACCAACATCTAAATAAAGCGCAGCGCAACGTGCGAAGTGATTGGTTCATGTCGGCATATGTAATGGGTATTGCGTGGCTAGTATGTCTCCCTCCCCGAGGCTTACGGCAACTAGAGGAGTAAGCCATGGGCGCATGCACGCTAGCTTCACGACATGCGACGATTCCAGTAAAGTTGAAGTCTTTCATATAATGGATGGTATCAAACTATCTAATCTTGACACATGCTCCTCTAGCCCAGCATGAGCATATCCCAACATCTCTCTCCAAAAGATCTCTCTATGGCTCAAACAAGAGAAACCCAATCGATAAAAAATCAAACTCAAACGCCAATGCCGCCCAAGCCAATCCTGCCGCTCATCAAATCCATAACTCAACCTCTACCAAAGAGCTTCTTCGCCGTCACCCTCCTGCCCGAGCTCGGCGTATACTCCTGCTCGTGCCCATAATACCCATTCTGCTGCTCACCGATCGAGCTCGGCGAGCGCTGCACATACGACGACGCCGCCTCAGGCGCGAGGCCCTCCTCCGTCCTCAGCTTCTGTGGCCTGGGAGGCGGGGGCGGCGCCACCGCAGGAGGCGCTTGGGCGGGCGCACGGTAGTACTCTTCATCCCATTCCGAGGTCGACGTGTTGGTGCGCGGGGCCTCTTGGCGCGCTGTCTGCACCGGCGTCGGGTGGCCCGCGTAGGTGTAGTTGCCGTTGGGCTGCTGCTGCTCTGGTTGGGATGTCGCGGCTGGGCGCTCACGTTCGCGGTCATCGCGGGAGCGGGTTGGGCGGTGGGCTGGTGCGGCGGGCGGTGCTTGCGCGGGCGCGGGGGTTGAGACTGGTTTGCGGCTTGTCTCGCGTGGGGTCTCGCGCTCGCGGGGTTTTTCGTCGTCTTCGTCTGAAGTTTCTTCTAAATCGCGGTCTTCATCGGCGTACTGGATCTCAGTTAGCATCATCGCGTGTGAACTGTAGGACGGGGTTTGACTTACCATCCTCAACTCTTTCCTCATGGCTAGGTTGGCGCAAATGTCCTTAGCCTCCTCAATAGCGACCTTCTGCGCCTTGAGCGTCATCCTACGGTCCCTAGTCTCCTTGTTCTCCGCAGCGATGCCCTCGACCGTCTCATTCTGCATGCTCAAGATCTCCACAGAGTTGAAGATACCATACATGCCCTGCAGCAAGTGCCGCTCTACAACCTGCGTGATCGTGTTGCGAATGAACGTCTTGGCTGCAAGCTCGTAAAAGATCAACATCTTCTCGCACACCTCCTGCGCCTCCGTGTACCGCCCGCCGTCCTTGGTCGCCTCCAGCTGCCACTTGCGCAGCCGCTCCTCGTACTCCGGGTCGTACGGCTGGATCTCAAGGTTCATGTCCTGCGTCAGGCGCTCGAGCTCCTCCTGCGCGCTCGCCATCAGCTTCTTCACCTGCGGATCGAGGAAGTTGTAGCGCAGCGGGTCGTGCATGCGCCCGGGCCATGCAAAGTCGATGACCTCGCTCAGGAACTCGTTGCACACCACGCCGAGGTTGTCCTTGTGCTCCTGCGCGAGCCGCGGCCAGTTCTCCGAGTAGCTCTGGAAGAGCATGTACACGGCGCGCGGCTTGGGATCCATCGGGAACTCGGAGCCGCGGATCTGCCGCAGCAGCATCTCGACCTCCTTGGTCACGAAGTCGCGCTTGCCGCTGTCGGAGATGGTCACGCTGCCGTCGGCGCCCGTGGGCGAGCGCGGGTCCGTGGAAGATGCGAAGCCGAACTTGCGCCCGTTCTGGCGGATGCGGTGGGAGAACTTCTCGTTCTCCTCGATGGCGCGGGCGCGGAGGTTCTGGGCGGGCGTGCCGCGGGGGTCGGCGGTCGCGCGGAAGAAGTTCTTGCCGGGTGGGTTCTTGTAGAAGCCGTACACGGCGGGGATGACGAGCTCCTTGGACGCGGAGAAGAGCTCGACAAGCTCGATGCGCATCTCCTCGACGGTGTCCTTGCCGGTGCCCATGCTCTTGAGCTCGGCGTCGCAGTCGTCGAGGGCGTTCTGGATCTGCTTGCGCAGGGTCTTGACGTGGCGGCCGATGTGGCGCTGCAGCTGGACGGAGAGCTTCTGCTTCAGCGCCCCGGCGCCGCACATTGAGCCGGGAAGAGCGCGCCACTTGCCGCGGCCGAAGAACTCCTCCTCGCGCTGCCTGCGCTCGCGGGCGGAGGGCCACGGCTGGCCCGCATCGCGGGGGCCCGGGTTGAGCAGGACGTACCAGCCGAGCTTGAAGTAGTTCTGCTTGTCCTTGTTCTGGACAAGCTCAATGAACTTGTCCTCGAGGCCGATGGACTCGCAGAGGTCGGGCTTGGTGAGGACGCCGATTGTGCGGCTGCCGGAGGGGTCGAAGTGGCGCGCCTTGGTGAGGATGGGCGCCTGGACGTAGTCGGTGTTTCCGCCGACGACGGCGAGGATGATGGTGCGCGAGGACTTCATGTAGCGGTCGCAGAGCGTCTCGATTGTCTTGATGTCGTCCATTGACTGGTCGTTATTGGCGTTCTTGACGAGACCAGGAAGATCGACCAGTGTGAGGAGAGGCATGTCCGGCCCACGCTTCTCAACGACCAAGATGTCGCGGGCGGCAAAGCGGCCGGGGATGTTCTTGGGCGCAATCAGCTCCACGGCCGACCTCATGAGCGACTCAAACGACATGTCGGTGTCCACCGCGCCGCCAAACTGTTTTAACCTCTCCTGCTCCCTGAAGTTGCGGTTCTTGTCGGGGATGATGGAGATGTTGAGCGTCGCATCGGCGGACCGCCTCAGGCGGATCTCGGTCGCGAAGCGCGTGCATGCGCCAGCGTCGCGGGGAAATGGCGTCCCCGTGATGGCTTCGAGGACGGAACTCTTGCCGGCGGACTGGTCGCCGACGACGACGATTTGCGGGAGCTTGACATTGTCGAGCTGGGCGAACTGCAGCTTGTCAATGAGCTCGAGCAGGCCGCGCTGCTCGTTGGCCATGTCCGCCGTCCCCAGCGCCGAGTCGATGGTCGGAGCCATTTCGCGTTCGGGCCTGAAGGTGGCGTTAGCTGCTGAGCGATAGTCACGGCCTGCTGGAGATTCTTCGTACAATGATCCCATAAGTGTCATGCAACGATGTATGTTAGAAGCAATGTGTGTGGGGAGAGTGTGTATGTGTGCGTAGAAAGAGGAGAATTCCAGACCAAAAGCACCACAGGTCTGAGAGTAAGAAAGCGGCAGCAAGCCTTTTAAAGAGGGAAGCCGGTTTTTGATGGAGTATGCCTAGCTTAAGCTTATGTATAATTACGCAGCCCAGAGACACTTGCGTCTGGACCGAACATCACATGTGCCAGGTTGGGGGCGCACCTCTCCAATGGCTATGAACGGGTGCCTGGATCTGGCCTCTAAGTCGTCGCAAGGCTGGCGTCGTAAGCTCCCATGACATACCAGTGGCCAACCGGCGACGTGGAGAAAAGCAAAAGCTTCGCCTACCAGGTTGCCACCTCTGGTGCGGTGGCAGGAATACGCAGCGATTAGCATTCCTCTCCTCCATGGATATTGCTTGGCTTGAGGCAGCCTTTAGGCGTATGTTCAGGCCCTTTGTGCATACAATAAGGTGCCGTCAATCCTGCCACTCGGCAGAGGCCCAGCAAACATCCGAGATTGACACTGAACAATCCCGGGAAACATCAATGAAGACGTGGGGAGACCGAAGCTCATCCATGTCCTGCGCAAGGGCAAAGCCACAGACTTTCGGGGGTGGAGGGGGGACGTGAGACCCAAACGAGCTGATGTTGGGCATGTCGGACGAATGACGTCGGCTGTCCGGCGTTGCACAGCCTCATTTCTGCTGTTCTCCGCAGCACCCGCTTGGCTTGACTAGCACTTGAGTCGTCTCTTTCTGTGTCTCTCTGTGTCTGTCCCTCTCCTATGTACCAGGCAGTCGGCGCAGGAAAGGGTTCGCATGACGAGGCGTACGCGTCGGAGGCCACTTGTTGCCCAATCATCCCTCGGGCAAGCCCGTCCGATGGCTGGCATTTTAAGCGAATGAAGGAGCTGTTGAGGAGCGAGAAACCGAGCGCCAAGGGACAACGGTGCCGTGCCGGTATTTTGGACTTGGGCTTGGAATTCGCCACTTGTGCAAGTTGGAAGATGGGCGGAGTCTTTTTTAGAACAATTAAGTGCAATTAAGTGGAAATGGAGGGATGGATGTGGCGGTGCAGAATGGGGCAAGCCACGAATGACTAATGTGATTCTAGATCGGGCGGGTGCTGTGGCTGGTGCAGATCTGTGGCTGGTGGGAGACAGTTGTGGCGAGTGCTTGAGTCTCCGACTTTCAAGCTCCCCGCTGCGTCTGTGTCTCTCTCAACACAACATCACTAGTTTACTCGTCTTCAACCGCGCACGTCCATCAGCGACAACAATGACATCATTTCTCATCTCAGAAGTGCTTCACCAACGATGCAGCCGCCGTGAAACTACATCCGTCTGCACGCCAACTTGACCGTTTCCAACAGGGCCCGTGTGCCGACCTCCCGCTTCAATACGCAAACTCCTGCCCAACAAGCTTCTCACTCAACCTCCACAGCATGTCCGCATCAACCTTACTCGTCGCCCAGCAGTACACCTCCTCCTCATACGGATCCGCGACGCGACAGTGGTTGAGGTACTCCCCGTTCCTCTCCTGCTTCAGCTCCTGATCAAAGGCCGCATAAACATGCGTCGCGACCCCCTGGTCCATATCCTTGGGCGCGATGCCGCCCATGCCCCAGAGATACTTTGTGCCCATCACCACGTCCACCCGCCTCAAACTCTCCAGCAGCGCGGGGATGTCGTCCGCCCCGTGCGTCGCGGCGAGGAGGTTCGTGTTCACGAAGCCCGGGCACAGACTGAACGCATGCAGGCCCCGCGACGCCCCGAGCTTGCCGGCCAGCGCGACCGCGAACAGGCTGATGGCCGCCTTGGACTGCCCGTATGCCGCCCAGCAGTCGTAGTTGGCCCCGTTGTCGAAGGCATGGTCCGTCCAGCGGATGTGCCCGAGGCGGTGCGCGCCGCTGCCGATGTTCACGACGCGCGGGTCCGGGGAAGCGAGGATCTTGGGCATGAGGAGGTTGGTTAGCAGGAAGTGCGAGAGGTAGTTTGTTTGGAACTGCGACTCGAAGCCCTCTTGGGTGAGGACGTATGGGCCGGCCATGATGCCGGCGTTGTTGACCAGGAGATCGATGTAGGGGACGTCTGGCCAGGAGTTGACGAGGGACGCGGCCTCGCGGACCTGGGCGAGGGAGGTGAGGTCCAAGGTCAGTGGCTTCACGGTGATGTCCGGGTGTGATGAGGCGAGGAAGTCGATGAGGGGTTGGGCCTTCGATGGGCTGCGGCCTGCCAGGATGAAAGTCGACGGCTTGGCGACTGCCACCTGCTTCACGAAGGCTTCACCAAGGCTCCCAGGAGAAACGCCGGTGATGAGGATAGTCTTCCCCGCGATGTGAGGAGCGTAAATGGGCACCAGCTCGCTGGCGCGTGTGGTGTTGTCGTAGGTCGGTACCATGGTATGAGTGGTGATGAGGTCAAGGTAGGTCTGTGAAGTGCAAGTTGGCGCAGTGACTTGAGATGCTGATGAACAACCTGGTGATGCCTCTTTGCTTTCAATCAGTCGATCATGGCCGTCTCTTTATACCCATCCCAGTCCATCGTCTGCGATGGTCTTACACATGCCATGTCGTGTCATGGCTCTCATCCACATCTCGGAAAACGCTGAGACAGTATCGCTATCCACATCGTAAAGTCTTGTGGCGCTGCAACAGGTGGATAGGTCTTTCGGTACTGCTGAGTCCTGAGTGGTTGGTGTCTATGGCTCATGGTCGAAGCATGCGGATTTAGCGGCCGTAAGCGGCGGCAAGACCCAATTTGCTGCTCTTTCGGCGTTACCACTTCACGAACCTCAGGAAGCCTGCCTGTGAACGCAAAGAACTCGGGTAAGACTGAAAATGATCCTTGTATTATCTCTAATTGACTCCCGATAACGCCAAAAGTTGTTGGTCTCCAGTTGCCGCCCCCAAGCGTGCGGCCCCACGGCGGCCGCATATGCCGCATGTCCCGCATCCCGCGCCCTGCTCCATGCTAGCCCCAATGCTCCGATGTGATCCTCTGAGCGATCAAAAAATATTTCTCTCATACATTATTCGTCAATTTCGTAAGCTCCTTTGCCAGGATCCGTTCCTGCTGCCCTGGCCGCTGCCCCGCGTAGCTCCATTGCTACCCGGTACCGCGCCCCATGTGCTGGCCCCACTTCCGGAGCCGGTGACCGGCCGGTATGACCCGATGTTGTGGTACGGACTCGCGGACTCGCCCTGGGAGAGCCAGATGTTGAGCGTGGCCGAGCCACCTTGTTGTTGATATGTGAATTGCGTCGGCGTCTGCCCTTGGTGCTGGCGCGGGACGGCAACGTATTGGGTGGTGTATTGGTTGGGCTTTTGGGAAGACATCTTTGTGAAGGATGCAGGTGGTGGGTGGGGTCTCAAGCGACGGGGGAAATTGTAGATAATTTTGCTCTGTCGAAATCTGATGGGAATAGTGAATGAGAGATCGAAGACGAGAGGCTTTTTTCGTTGGCCTTCATCGATCTCTTATATCCATTTCCAAATCCTCACAGGCCCTCGAAAGGTCATGAAAAGACCGCTGTGCTGGTCGCGATCCTCATGTGCTGAGGAGCGTCAATCCTCAGTGACGAGGAGTCGAACTCCTCCGCCACCACAGGCTCCTCAAAAGGGTCTTTTTGCGGTTCTTTCCTCACGCGGACGAAAATACAAAATCATGTAGTCTATCGAACATCAAACAGCGAAACATTCCCAAAACATTCCAAAATGCATGCGTCGTCATCAAAAATACCCATGGTCCACACTCTCCAGAAACTACCTGCCCTCAAGCGGTCTTTTTGGTAGGCATTATTTCGAATTGGCCAAAAGAACCCGACATGTGTAAAAAGCCCCCTGGCAGCCGTGAGCTAGTGCAGGCACCAAAGTCTCTGGGAAGGGGGGCACATGGTCGACAGGGGTGATGATTGCTAAAAAGACCACGCTTCAGGCGCATCGGCGAGCGGGTGTAGCCAGCAGCACTGCAATTATAGGGGCATTCATTTTCGGGTATCTGAAAAGGGTCTCGCCTATGCAGGGTCTTTTTGCTGTTGGTGATAGGGATTTTTGGTTGATGTTGGCTTGGCATCTTACACGTCTGCTACCTATTTAATCCGCGCAGAGCGGGCGGTCTTTTTGAGATGACTAGTTTATACAAGCCTTGATATCATGAAGACGTATCCTCAAGGCTGTTCCATCACGACCAGAGTGATCAACACACTGGCGTTCGTGTTTTTATCTTTCCAATAACGTATATGCATAGCGAGTCGCCCATCATAGCGAGCCGCCCACCTTTCACTACCCTCCAGCCATTTGTGTAAGTCAATTAAGCCACATCGTACGAAATCAATTGAAACTACTCATCAGCCTCTTCTTCAGAGGTCTCC